GCATCCGATATCAGATTCTCATTCTCTATATAATAAGCCATTTCCAATATAAAGCGAGTCCCTTAGTGCAGAATACTGTTTANAGTTGTAATGAGGCTTTTTTTTGGTCGCCGTGTAAGAGAAATAGTAACGTAAACAAAACAAAGCAAACGTTGCTACCGACGAGAAAGAAATACAGCCAAAATTTGGGAGCCACGTAAGAGAATTATATATATTAGATTATGAAATTAATATATGAATAATGTTATATATGAAATTATCATATAATAAAATGCTTAATACATTAAAATAAGAAAATATAAAAAAAAAATCTGCATGTTTTAATTATTAAAAAATAGTTCATAAATAGCATAGTAATGACGTTTATTGGCTTACCTTGTAAGTCTTTCGCAAATTTGAAAATTATTGCTGAAATTTTGATTAAAATACAACGATAACGTATAGAAAATAGGACTTTTTCAAAAAATTAATCGATATCGTTTTATTTATTTATTTCCTAAATTTCCATTGAATTTTTTACTTTTTTTTCTAAACATGGTAGGAAGATTTACGTTGCGAGCTTTAGCAAATCATATTTATTTTAAGTCAACCTTCAGCAATAGTTATCCCGCAGTGGACTGATCGTTAAGACACGATTTCCAGCAGATCACCGAAGTCAAGTATTACTCATCACTGGCTGCTGTTAGTGTACGGGTGGGTGACCACTTGGATCAGTCCGCGTAGGGACCGAGGGTGGGTGGTATTGGTCCTCGTTAAACTGTGCTGCCGTAAAGTACTCGACTTCGCGTGCAGGTAGTCGGGCTACCGAAGCGGGGATGCCATCCCCTCTGCAGAGGATCAAAATTGTAAGGGCATGTCTTCGGATCATCCTCAGGGATGTTTCTCAGATAATCGCCAATAGCCCATTGTGCAGCTCTAGTGCTACGTAGATGAACTAAAACAACAACCCAGCAATAGGTCGGAATATCTGGCATTTCTGTGAGGTCACTGACTTTTGAAATCTAAGTTGCACTCTGCATTAATTGTGAGGCAAGTATGCGTCATTTGTCAAACAAATTTTATCTCAAAAAATTCTTTTTCAAACACTTTTGTGATGCAAAAACTTGCACAAAACCCATAATATCATATTATCGCTTATCTTTAATTCTTGCTTCCTTATAACCAACTTCCTTTTTCTTAACCTGACACCATGACACTGGTGATCACGATTTTTTTGAAATATACAAGAAACTTGTAAGGAATGATAGAGAAGCATTTCAGAAGTCTCTGTGGGAGTCGGGGACAGTAAAAGAGTGCAAAGAATGAGCTAGTTTAAAACAGATTTAAATTCTTCAAAGCTTGCTATAATACAAATTTTCTCCAATTCCAGAAAAGAACGAATTTTAATGATTTTGCTGTTTGTAATATTGTAACAAAACCACAATACTTTATAAAAAATAAATATTGTTAGAAAAGTAGTTACGCATCTGCCTGATTACTCATTTAGTTATTTATTAAATGATACTTCCCATACACTTGTAAAACGCTCTATTTATAATTTATAACAATGCTAGCAGAATGAAGTTTTGGGAATTTATTGCACCTTATTTTTTTACATTAGGGCTCCAGCCTGGGCCTGTGCGATGAAACGGACAAAAAGTAGAGTTTTTTTTGTGGGGGGGGGGATAGAAGAATAAAATTAGAATTGCAACAAGGTAATACTATTTTTACCGGCAAAATGTAGTATGTAAGAATTTGCTTAAATTTCAAAATAAATATATCCTATTCAGAACACAAGAACCTTAGGGAAATAAATACGGAAATTGTACTTATTTAATGTAAATATTATACAACCAGAAAAGAACAGCTCGCTATTGTTAAAGCCTGTAGAACATTTCCATCATTATCTTTATGGAAGACAATTGTTCTTGCTCCGGACTGATTATGCCTCTTCAGTCTGACTTTTAAATTTTAAGAATCCTGATGATCAGGTAGATACAAGGGTACTTCATGTGGAAATGCCAATGCATTAGCCCGCAATGAAATCTGCCGATATTGTTCCAGAATAGAGAAGAAATATCAAGCAACAAATCTTGTTGTTGTTCATTTACGTCGCACTAGGCTGCACAATGGACTATTGGCGACGATCTGGGAAACATCTCTGAGGATGGTCCGAAGACATGCCATCACAATTTTGACCCTCTGCAGAGGGGATGGCACCCCCGCTTCGGTAGCACAACGACCTGCACGCGAACAACAAATCTTGTATTAAGCCTAGTTGCGGTTTCAACGACATTGAAACCACACCCATGAAGTGATAAACGTAAAAAACGCCAATTCCGAATGGTATTCTGATATAAGACCTATTTTTGAAATGAAGGTATCTTCATATGTGACATCAAGTCGGCAAGATATTTCCAACTACAGCCCTCTGCTTCTAAACAGTATTCTGCACTAAGGGACTCGCTTTATATTGGAAATGGCTTATTATATAGAGAATGAGAATCTGATATCGGATGCAAATTTAAAAGGCAGCTCATCCTTCCAAAATTTAGAGATGTAGATGCCTTAAGAAAACTGTATGATAGTTCAACTGGAGGTCATTTTGGATTAATGGGGACTCTAAGGAAAATTCATGAGCACTTCTACTTCTTTAGGAGCAAGTCAAAAGACGATGTAGAAAAGTGGTGTTGATCTTGTGCGACTCGGAAAGAACCGAAGACGCGTAGAGGTGGAAGATTGCATCGCTATAATGTTGGAGTGCTATATGAGCGTATCGACTTCACACCTCGATCTTCGAATGACAAAAATAAAAAAAGTTTTAATTACTTTATAAAGCGTATCCCATACCCGATGAAGAAGCTACTACACTAACTAGAGGTGATCTTGATAGATCAATGCTGAAACAGTTCCGTTAATTTCGGCCCCTTCTCATGCAATTTCTGTTTTTCTCTTACAGATATTGAAATTTAACGAAATTTTTTTCCAAACATGCAAAACATTGCAATGTAATTTTAATGATCCTTATTTCTACTTTTTTAATTTTTGGCTGTTAACAATCCTCTTGTTAAACGTTTTCTTTTTGTCAAGTTTCCAGAGCGCACATCGTGGAGGCTGTTAGCATAGAAATCCTTATTTATTTGTTTATCAAACGTTATTATCATAATGGATTGTTACAAAATAATTAACACAAACACATAAATGGAACATAAAAAAATGATAGTTTTCATTGAAAATGAAAAAGTTTTTCATTAATTAATTCATTAGAATTTCGGGGGCAATCCCTCGTAAAGGAAACTGCTCGTGATACATTTATAGCGCAGCTCTGACGTTACCATTTGTACTGCCGTATGTGGTGTAACTACCACTATAATTATTAAGCATCAATTCACTAATATATAAGATATGCTAACTCAATTGGGTCTTGGGATATCTTTTGATAGATAAAGATTGGCCTACTTTGATGGATGCCTACTTTGATGGATGGTCACGCCTACTTTGATGGATGGTTCACGTTGAACAGTTGACTGCGTCAAGATTCTCCTCCAGCTATTGCTTCTCAATCTTATTTGTACACAACAGGATCCTACACACACTTGACTGCTAATAGCAAAGCAGGAGGAGACACACACACACAACCGTTAACTTAATACAGCTCTCACCACAAGCGCTCTAAATCCGGTGAACTTAATACAGCTATCCCGGTCTTTCGCAAATACGGCAACTAGTGGTATCCATTTATCGAATTCTATCCCTGATAAAATTAATGTGGGAGAGTATTGTAGTGTATTTACTATTGCTATTATTAATAACCATCAATTCACCAATATATAAGGTATGCTAACTTGATTCAGTCTTGAGGTACCTTTTGATAGATGAAGGTTGGCATGGTAGATAACTATCTTATCCCCATTAGTACATGCAATGCCTGTCTGCTTTTTTGGCATACGTTAAGTCACCCATCGTAGACGTCAGCACTGAGATGCATCGTAGAACGGTGGCTCGACTTCCACTGTTCTCTACCAACCGATAATAACTCCATTTCTCTATTCTTTTATTTCCCCTGTTTGTGACTCACTACGTCACTTGCGCCCATACATGAATACACAGGATCATCATGAATTGCATGTTTTTTTGTGCTATACCTCATTTCGCTACATCTGTGAAAAATCTTGCCATTTGTTATTTTTTGGGCAGCATTCACAGCATACTTGTGGGCTTGATCAAATTCATTTTCTGCTAAATTTAGATGGCTTAAGCTAAAGGTAAAATAAAATAATGCGTTGAATTGGAAATACTACAAGTATATTAAAACCTGCCGGTGCTTTATTTCCTTGGCAAACAAAGAGCATCCTTTGGCCAAGGTTTTTTCAAACTTGAGCGTAAAAAATGAATCGGAAGTAGCAACACCCGGAAGTCTTACGACGAATATTACACCTAGCGCTATCTGTGCTTAGCTTTACATGGTCAACCATCCTTAATTTTTTGATGCATTTCATAATATTTAATTGAAAAAAAATTTATCCTATTCAGAACACAAGAACCTTAGGGNCTTTTAACTTGAAAAACTACATGGAACTGAAAACTACATTAAACATAGTTCAAAAGAAAAGTATCATGGAAATTTTAGAAAATATTTTTATTAAGTGAAAAGGAAAAATAATAAGAAAAGGGAAAATATCGTAGTACATTCCTATATAACTGAAAAGAGGAGGAGAGGGACGGGAGAAGGGCTAAAGGCATGAAACCGGTCTCTCCCCAGATGGCGTATTCGAGTGTTGCGATCGCGAATTACACCTAGCGCTATCTGTGCTTAGCTTTACACGGTCAACCATCCTTAATTTTTTGATGCATTTCATAATATTTAATTGAAAAAAAATTACTAATAACCCAGAATTTAATAAACATCATTATATCATTTCATGTTTAGGAACTGAATAATAATTCAACCATTTTATTATTTCAATTTAAGTGATTTTTCTCAACATTCAAACAGCAGACGATGTTTCGTATTAATTTGTCTCTAACTTTTAAAAAGATGGCAATACTTTTAGAGGTTATCGAAAGAGAAACACCAGCAGCAGAAATATCATTTGAACTGTAAATTTTTCTGTCACCATGGGTTTATTTAATAAATTATTTAGTGATCTAATTAAAAATTCAATAAAAGGTACACAAGTTGTGAAGGTAATCTACCTGCTATTACAAAAGTTGAGCTATTACAGAGCATTTAAAAATTTTACATTTTGTGTACTTTATTGACATTTTACTTAAATATTTTTAAAGTTTATATTTCATTATTGTTTTCTAATATTTATTTAGATAGGAATGCTTCACATTATCTTTATTGTAAATACATCATTCTTTTCAATCCTTTTATTTGTACCGGGGCCATAGCATGCGAAAAAAAATATGGGACGGCATTTGTTATTTTTTCAATTTGCAATTAATTACACAATAATATTCTTTCAATTTAATATAAATTTATATTCTGTAATTTTTATAATTCTATTATTACTAAATGATTACATTTTCGAAATGCCTGCTTCTGATATTTGCTAATAGCTACAATTCATGTTTATCAATCCGGTATTTAAATTTTGCAGGCTAGATTTACAAAAGTTTCTGATACTGTATATATTTAAGTCATTGATTAAAACAAAAAACTTGTTAAAATATGTTTTATCGTTGGATGTAACAAAAATTAAATGACTTGCATGTTCATCTAATGTATTAAAAAAAAGTTTCAATTAATCACTAAAATTTGAAAATTAAAAATTAATGTAAACTTAATGCTTATAACTAAAATAAAAATTTGATGCTTTAAAAATATTTCAAAATTTATATCTAATATTAGGAAGAAAAGAAAGCTAAGTGCTAAAACTAAACTAAAATACTAATAATCTAAAAAAAAGGGATATAATTTTTTAACATTTAAGAAATTTAAAAATAATTAGGTACTTTTCAATGAATAGCAAGAAGAAAGCAAAACAAACTAGTTAGTAACTAAATTATAAATGTAATCACTAAATTTAAAACAAGGAAACAAAAGGCAGATTTCTAAACTTCTTTTTAAAAATATCATATACTTAAGATTATGATTTACAGAGAGAAGGGGCAACAAACAATATTACAATTTTCAATTTTGTTTAAATTTGACATTAATTTAAATTTAATTTTGAGAAAATTATTGGCAAGGAAAATTAAGTAACTAAAATATATAAACACATAAGATTTTAAAATCTAAAAATCAACATTAAAGTAATGATAGGGCAATATATATTATTTTTTTAAAGTCTATTTTAACGAATTCAGTGGATAAAATTACGAAATTAAGGAATAATTAACTAATGAATTTTAATTTAAATCTGAAATATTTTTATTCGCAAAAAAATAATAAATGAGTAAAAAAAACTAATCTAACAAGTTCAGATTATTTTATATTAATTAAAAGGAAAGCAATCAAAATTGTAATAGCATGTCTTCGGATCATCTTCTGGGATATTTCCCAGACCATTACTCATTGTGCTATTCTAGTTTGACACAAGTTAAGTATCTACTACTGTATGTTTACTGGAATTTTTTTTATTCTCTTCTAAGCATACTTTGAAAGCATGTTAATAGAAAAGGTCTGCATAAAAAGTATTAATTTTTAAAAACTAGTGATTATGTATATTTTAAATATGCACTGTAAAGAGTTCTGTCCAGGTATAATGCACATAAAAAATCTTTAGGTATTTAGATTCAAATTGTTTTTGTAAAGGAATAAAATTTTTGCTGTTATGAATGAATTTAGTTCCAAATAAATTTTGCGTAAATAAAGGTCTTGGTTGTTTTTTTTTTTGTTAATTATTTTAAACCAAATTTAAAACTATGTATAAATATATTAGTCTATAATTGTATGCTTTTAAGAAATTATTAAAGAACTTTTATTTCTAAAAACAGGGATTTTTTATTCAACTTTTTTTATAAACATGTTTGAACAAATAAATTATTTTAATTTTAAAATAATATAATTTTTTTCTGAAAAATATAATTTTAACTGTATTTTGATCCTGCCATTTAAACTAATATGAACTACTTTCCAACTTTTTAGATTCATCGAGTTTCACAATTTTCTACTAGTAGCCATAGAAATGCTCAGGTAAAAATTACTTTAATATCACATATTGTTAGTAATTATATTATTATCATGCACAGATCAATATTATCAAAATCATAAATTTAGAATAGAAAAATAATTCCAAGAGTGTGTGTATTGTATTAAAAAGTTTTACTTCTTTTATATATTAAAATATTTTAATAGTTGTCTGTTTCCATTTGGTTCAGAATTAATTATATATTTATTGATTGTTATTTTGAGAGTTTGACTTTAAATATCTATTTAGTCTAAGGAATCATAGATTAGTGACTGCTGAAGCATTGTTTTCTGCCAAAATGTGTCTAATTTTTTTCTTACTTATATTTGTGTATTTCTAGAAAAAAGTTGATTAAATCAAGTTTGAGTACATGGCATTGGCATAAGGTATTTCAATTTTATTAGAGGTGGTGGACTTTATCAATCAGCTTTCTGCTTTAGGATCTTTTTGAGTTATTAAATTATATCAATTTAGGGGCTGATTCTGGGATATTACTATCCTAGCATCAATATCATAAACTGCTGAAATAAATGTGATTTTGAAAATATTTGCATTTCTTATAACTACTTGCATTGAAGGGATCTGCTATGAAATCATTATGTGATTTAATCGACAATTTTCACAGAAATAAAAAAGATATTTATGGTTTGCATCACAGAAGTGGAAAAGATTGTTATAAATCTATGCATTGAATATAAATTATGCATTAAGTATCAAACACTTAATGCATTGCTGTGAGGCTTAAGTCGACTGTTTTTTTAAGTCTACCTGTGACTTACTTATCAGCTCAAATGGTTAATAAATTTAATTTCACCATCCTCGAAGTTCCTATTCCTGACAGCAATGCAGTAAAATATTTTCCAGAGTTCTTTGAATTTTTCATTTTTTATCGTCAACAATGCTTCTAAGCCACTGATCTAGATTTCTGGAAATCATTTCATTTTGTAAAATTATAATAATTTAGTTAATGACTTTTCTAGTATTCAATTTGCTCTAAATGTTATGGAATTTTTACATGTTGCAATACCTATAGTTATCACCCTTACACCAATCTTTGCATTTCTTTATTTCCTTCTTTCCCTCTGTGTTCTTATCCTGAAAAAGGTACTTCATTATTAATTATAATTCCCTGCAGATCACTGAAGCCAAGCATCACTGGCTGTGGTCAGTGTGTGGGTGACCACTTTGATCAGCCTGCGAAGGGTTCGAGGGTATGCGGTATTGGTCCACATTTAACTTTTTTACCGTTAAATGCTCAACTTCCCGCTCAGGTCGTCAGGTTACCAAAGTGGGGGTGTCATTCTCTCTGTCATTCTCTCTCTGTCATAAGTCTTTTCACATTGTTTAACTTTATTTGCTAGTGATTAAGCCCAAATTAATTTATGATTCTTATGTATGTTCATGTGTTAAAAGGTGACAGTGCGAGATGCTCTCAATGCAGCCATGGATGAAGAAATGGAGAAAGATGAAAGGGTGTTCTTGCTGGGAGAAGAAGTTGCTATGTACGATGGTGCTTATAAGGTATGATTTTAAAGTCATGAGTTATTTTTTTGCTCATCTTTTGATCTATGTCATTTTAATTTTAAAAAGAAGTTAAATACATGTTTTTGAGAGACTGATGCATTCTGACCACATTTACAGAACTCTGTGATGAAACTTTATGTGCCTTAAAACAATTTTAATTATCAATATTTTAATCCTTACATAGGTTTAATAAATTTTTTATTTAATTTTTGGTTTCGAACTTTTTTTTTTTAATACAAGAATGCCTCATGCTTATTTTATCAAATATGCTTTAATTTTTTTTTATTATGGCATTTGTTTTGAAAACATAAAAATATATTCTTAGGATATTAAGGCTTTAAGAACTTTTAATATTGTTACAAATTTTGAAGAAAATGTTTTGATAGATCTATGGTACTGTTGAGCTATAGACTGTAAGACTTTCAATTCCACAGATTTTAGGAGAATGTATATTGCATGTAGTCAGTGGGTCTGAGCACTTTTGAGGTTCAAACTCAGTACCAAAGGCTGATATTTTAACCACTGAGCTACCACAGACCAATAAATTCTTAGTTTATCAAGTTATACAATATAAAGCAAAAATAATGGACATAATTAATTTCTATTTTTAGTATGGTTGTATGTACAGTAGTAATAAAACTTAATGTTTTGCAAAATTATTAAATTCATAACATTGTGATTATTATGTGGTGCTTTATTCAGTTATTGTGTTAATCTGCATTTTTTATTGTCTAAATCCCTTGTAAATTCTGCCGATGTCAAATCGGCCATTTCATTTGAATTTATCTCAGAACTTCAGTAATATTTTTAATTTAATATGCCATGATTTGAATAATGAGGAAAGATAATAAATAGTAGCTACTTTAAATTCAATTGATTATTGTGTTTAATTAGCATTAAATAAGCACTAATTATTTTTATTACTTTTTTTCCAGGTCAGTCGTGGTTTATGGAAAAAATATGGAGATAAAAGAGTGATAGATACCCCTATAACAGAAGTAAGTTAATAAAAAAAAATCACAATTTAAATTTTTTAGAATTTTTTTCTTCTCTTATTAGATTTATTTATGGCCAGATTAGATCCCCAGAACCAGCTGCAATGTTATTTGATTGATAAGTTCTTTATGCTTGATTTAAAATTATAAATTTCTTTTTTAAGTCTTTTAGCTGTAACTAAAAAAAAGTTTGATCATGTCATAATTAAACTTGAAAGTAAATTAAATTAGTGTGATTTTAAATAAGTTTAGAGTGATTTTAAAAAATGTTTTAAGAGATTAACATCCACGCAATCTTTTTCTGTAATATGTTTCTTCAGTTGCAATTCTTTTGTAATATGCTTAAGCAAGCTTTCTTTTGCAATATGCTTTTAATGCTTAAGGTGAATGTATTAAATTAAGATGAAATAATACAAATTAGTATGTTTTTTTATTGAATGAGGTTTTTAATTTTTTGAAGTGTATATTTGTCTTTCTTCATTATAAAAAAAGAAAATTTTGAATTTAGTTAGTGCTTACATTTATTAAAGAAAGCTTTCAGATTTTCGCTCATTACCAGATTTTTTATAGCATAAGCATTCAAAAGACTGGGGAAGATTTTAAAAAAAATATTTTGTAATTTTTACAGTTATTTTGTTATTATAATAACAAGTTTATTTATTACTCTATTTATATTTTCTAATTTTCTTACATTAGGTCATTTGGAAGCTCTCATAATAAAGGAAAATATTTAACATAAATCTTTCTACATTCTTAGGAAATATTTTGTTACATCTTAAAATGTTTACTTATTTCATCATACATAAAATAATTCTAATAAAGTAAAGCCATTTTTTAAAATCAGAAATGGTTCATCAACATCTAACCATTTTAATTTTAAGAATAAATAGACATTCAGTATTTTTTGGAAAATATGCTTTGTAAGATGTAGTCTTTATCCAAATTTATTCATGATTTGTTTTCAAATCAAATTTTTTTTCACTTAATCTGATTAACTCTTATGTAGCTTTAACTTAATTATCGGAAATTTTGAACGTGAAAAAATTATAGAGACCATAAGGATAATTTAAATCGGCATTGTTATTTACCAACATTATGCTGCATATTGTTTTTCAGGTACTTAAATGTTCAGCCATTAGAAATATCTTAAGTTTTTTTATGTACCTAATTTATTATGAAGAATGTTATATTAATAAGTGAAATGGTGATATGATTGTTTAAATGTGGTTAATGTTTTAGTTTGTATTGATGTAAGTATGCAAAAATGTCTATTCTACCTTTTCCTAATTTTTTTTCTAAATTATTATTTTGCAGATAGGATTTGCTGGTATTGCAGTTGGAGCTTCTCTGGTGAGTGTGTGAATATATTTTCTCTAATAATTAAAATGTGATATGTGCTAAGGTGAACCTAAAATTTTTACTTTTTTCATTCACTTTTAATATTATATTTTTCCTGCCACTGCTTGGTTCTTAAAAGTGATAGATGTATGAAATAACTTTTTAGATGGAGTGATATTTTTTTTCTACAGTTGAATTGATAATACAGTGGAACCTCGATCCATCATACTGCATAATTTATTTTCTCGCATGTATGGTCAGGGGAATGTTGAGCATGAATGTTTGTTCAGCAAAACATTGAAAGATCTATGACACTTTTAAAATTTCATTATTCAGTCCATTAATAAGGTGCTATGTTTGATTTGTAATGAAATCATGGCTGTTCTCAATGAATAAAACATGGACTCTCATTATGAAGCAATACATGTCATTATGAAGCAATACATACACAACAAATATCAAGACTCCTCTTTGTTTGAATTTTGTAAGAGTCTTCCTCTGGTACAATTTTATAATTGGCATAAATTTGCCCATGAGCTGTTTTCCGTCTTTGGTACTACTTTGTTGTGGGAGAAAACATTCATATTCTCCAGAATAGAATAGACAGACACAAGGAATGCTAAGTGATGAACATCTTAAATTTGTTTTATAAATGATGTTAGAAATTTTTTTTTTACAACTGCAAGGTATTGTCAGTGGAAAATTGCAATTACATAAATCTCGTTGGTGTGTTTTACAAGTGATCATTTATCATTAAGCTTTACCTTGCAAGTTAATAAAACTGGATTAGCATTATTCTGTTTTTTTTTTTTAAACTCAACTTATCACAACAACAATAATAACAGGCTATTATCTGTCACAGACTAGACTGGTGACATTTACTGGCCTGATTTGGCTCTCGGGGTGTGCTTGGAGACCCCTGTTCTATATTTATAGCTTACTATTTAGTCTTTTTATACTTTGGCTCTTTATTTCAATAATCTCTGCTTTTTCTAAATTTGATTTTTTCTTGCATTAAATAAAATTTTTTCTATTTCGATGTGACATCAATTACACAAAAATTTATTCGTGATTAAAATAAATACTGAAAGACATTTTATTGTCTCATTCATTAGTTCACTGATATGTTACAATAGTTTAGTTAATATATTGTAATTTTAACAGATCTAATTCAAAGAGAACTCTGACATTGAAAGCATTACATAAGTAGAAGTAAAATAATTTTATTAATGTTAATGTAATAATGCGCAATAATATTATATGGTATATTTGAAAGAAAAAAAAAGACATTGAAATTTATGAAATTGGATTATGAATTTTAAATTCTTACATTAATATTTGATAATTGATAATATTTGATAATTCTTACATTAATAATTGAATTGATAATTCACTATGCTTTGTATTTTTTCAGGCAGGCTTGCGACCCATTTGTGAATTTATGACTTTCAATTTTTCAATGCAAGCTATAGACCATATTATAAATTCTGCAGCTAAAACATTTTCTATGTCTGCTGGTATGGTAAGTCAGATAGATTTAAACTAGCAAAAGTTTTTAACTTTTAAGTAGTTTTTCCTTATTTTATCTTTTGATTTGATGACATGATTAATAATATTGAAGATTATAAAATTTTGATTGAAACAAAAATTTGAATAAAGTCATGAGCAACATTCTCAGATTTGTTTGGTGACTTGTCTGGCAGGTTTTCAGATGTTGCATACTTGATTGCACAGTTTGCCAATTTGTACTTGGATGCATATTTGAGTGTTGATTTTGAGTTTCATACCTTAAATATTCCTCTTAAAAATTTTTTTGGCAAATTTTTTAGTTTTTTTTTTCTTCCTCCATACATGGAGATGATAAACTTCTGTAAATATATGAGTGAGTGTATGAAAGACGACCGTTATATATGACAATACTAAGTACATAGTATTGTCATATATAACGGTCGTCTTTCATACACTCACTCATATATTTACAGAAGTTTATCATCTCCATGTATGGAGGAAGAAAAAAAAAACTAAAAAATTTGCCAAAAAAATTTTTTAAGAGGAATATTTAAGGTATGAAACTCAAAATCAACACTCAAATATGCATCCAAGTACANGGTCGATACACTACAGTACTCCCCCACCAGAATTATATCTGTGATAGAATTCGATGAAAGGATACCACTAGTTGATTCATTGCAGTTTTGTGAGAAGCTGAAAAAGCAGTATTAAGATCACCGTACTTTTTGAGTGCTGATTGTGAGAGCTGTATTAAGTTCAGGGTTCTGGTTGCTCTTGTGATGCCTTTAGCACTCGAGTATATACGTTGTGTGTGGTTGAGACTGAGAAGCAACAGCATGAGGACAATATCGCTGTCGCAAATAGCAAGTCAACTGTTCCATATGAACCATCCATCAAAGTAAACATGTTCAAATCGTAGTGGCGAGGTAGGCATGTTCACATGACGTCCGGGTCACCAATGTGGGGACAGTAATTATTGATAACGTCAGCATCCATCTAAGAAAAGGTACTCCAACATAGAATCGAGCTAACATGTCTTATATACTTGGGAATCGGAATTGTATTACTGTAGTGGCAGATACACTGAAAATTAATAACAGATAAAAGTTGCATGTTTAAAAGATGTATGCAGCTCCTGTCTTTACATTTTAAATTTAGAAAAAAGAATTTTTTTCTCTATTTGATCCTAAAAAGCAACGATGACTGCAGATATATCTTTATTAAATTATTTAAATATATTTTGTTGAATTAAGTCTTACCCAATGTGTTTCTATCTGTCAGATATGTTAAAATTTGCTTCAATAGAAAGAACAAAAAAAAAAAAAAAAANAGTCAAAAAGAACAAAAAAAAAAAAAAAGAATCATTCGCTTCCCCCTCCCTTAAAATCAAATGAATTAAAAATTATATTTTGTAATTTTTTTTAAATATTCATTGGTAAAAATTTTTTGTGATAGTAATTTTTAGAAATTAATTTATAACAAAATTTTTTAAATTTATTTTAAATTTAATGCTGTAAACAATTTATGGATGTGCATTTTGTGAAATACCAATGCAACTGTAAAACAATTTTTTTTATTTGCTTATACTGTATTTAGTTTAGAGTATAAATTTTTTTTTTTTACTATAAGTAAAAATAACATTAAAAAACTGAACTTTATACTAACAACCTTTGGTTTAATAGATTTGAACAAATTAATGAAATTGTATTTGAACATTTAGGATAACAAAAATAAAAGTATTTTTTAAAATTAAAAAAAAAATATATATATATATAAATGATTTTTGAAATATTTTGATGAATTTTTCTCTGTTTGCAATCTCTCTCTGAAAATATTTCTATGGATATCTTCATTACTAGTTCATCATGAATGTTGGTGATTTAATCATTTAATTTGACTCAAAATTTGTTTTAATTAAAATTTAATACATTTTAAATTAAAATTATATTTTTTTCTTACATTTTTTTAATGACATTTTAGGTTACTTTGACTTTGCCATTTCTTTGAAATGTACTTTAAAATTATTACTTTTTTTGTTTTGTACTTGTACTTCGTACTCGTTACCTTTTTAAATCAAAACTTTTTACTATTTTCCCCATTACTTTTGCCTAAAGTACTTGTACTTTTGCTAGTAGTTTTTAAAAATAGTGTTCCCATGTATGGTGACCATGCATCCTGAATCTACCCTTTTAAGCATTAGTCCCGTTTTTTTTTCTTTTCAGAATTTATTGCTGCAAGCTTTCCTTCGTCAAAAACACCGGTTTCCCCAATGTTATTCAATGGGAGAGTAGTGTGTGGCTGGGTAATTTTGGTACTTTTACCCCCAGGCCTCAGCTATTTGAGGGTTAAAGGAAATTAATTACTATTGTTCTAACACTGATAATAAATGTGGCTGCTTGTGAAATAAAGCGAGCTTTGTTTGGGGATGAGCATTTGATCCATTTTGTTTTTCAAAGAACTCCATTTTAATCTCAATACCAATTGTGATATGAATTTTAGAAATGCTGAAAAATTGTGGAAATAAAAATATTGAATAAATGAATTACTTTATTATTTTTTTTAATGAATTACTTTAATACTTTTTTTTAAAAAAATAATTAGGCTCTAAATTTGTCAGAAAAAAGTTAGAAGTTATGTGTTTAGCAATGTGTTTTGGCTCAATTAATCAATTGTATTAAAATTTTTATCTTGTGTAACTAATATGTTATATAATCTGTGATATATGGTGATAGTAATTAAGAAATTTAATCTCTTCTTAGGAGTTAACTCTTTGATTTTAAATGTCTTCACTCTAAAACTAGTTAAAGAGTGAAATGACTCTCTGGAGGAGTGTAGGATAATCAGCCTCTATACATAACCCCTGTTGCAGAATTTTTATGGGCTTTCTGCGACATATCTCTCTAATACTGCGAAATACTTTTAAAAACAACAAATATACATGTTACTAATTTAAAGTAGCAGAAGCATCAATTTAAAAAAAAAAAATTCAGATCAAAAAAATTTTTTAAAATTTAATTTGTAATACTTTTTTTTATTCTAATATTATGGGCAATATTCTCACATTTTGTGGGGGGGGGGAAACACAGTAATTATTTTCGTTTTTGCATTTTGTAAATTATAACATAAAAAATAAATCGTGAAATCCTTTTAGCAGTAACTACCGAAAATCGGCATGAATCGATGTCGAATTGATGGCAAAATCGGGCGAATCAGACTATTCAAAAGAGGTTACTAAATGCTTTTGTAATAAATGATATCGTATTTAAAATATCGGATTTTAAAACCTATGTGGAAATCAATAGTAATAACTGCATAAAAAAAATAAAACGAAAATTTCTGCAGAAAATAAAATAAAATTTTTTACTTCATTATTCTTTATTTTTTTTATTATTCTCAAATGAGAACAAAAAAATCACTAGCATTTTTTTTAGTCATCGGATGCAGGAGAAAGGCATCTTTTGAATGTAATTATGAAGAAACGATAAAATCTTTCAAAAATTTCTGCAGGAAAGAAACAAATTTTTTACTTCCCGAAGGAAAAATCTTTTTGTTAGAACTCTTTAACATTCTGCGATAATGTCGCCGTGTCACCACGATTCTGCCATGGGGTAGATAACAATGATAAACGTAATAACGAAGAAAGAATGGTTTTAAGAAAAATATTGATTGTGGATTATTTGTTTTAAACAAGATTTGCATTGATTTTTTTGGAAAAAAAAAACTAAGTAGTAAGGGAATTGAATTTTTTTTTAGATTAATGTACCAATAGTTTTCCGTGGTCCTAATGGAGCTGCCCAAGGTGTTGCTGCCCAACATTCACAATGTTTTGCTGCATGGTATTCCAATTGTCCTGGTCTGAAAGTAATATCACCCTACAGTTCTGAAGACTGTAAAGGATTGCTCAAAAGTGCTATAAGAGATCCCGACCCAGGTATGAAGTCTTTAAGAAATTTACTTTTATAAATTCTGTGATTTTTTTTAAAAATCCTTTAAAGGGACAGCGGCCATGGCTCAGGGGATAGAGCATTTGTCTTCCAATGAGGTGAACCGGGTTCGATCCCAGAGATGGCTGATCGATACGAATTCTGCATCCGGCTTGCACGAACCACAGTGCTGACGTGGAATATCTTCAGTGGATCATAGGTTAAAGTCCCCTTCCCGTCAGGCTAACCCTGGGAGGTTTTCGTGGTCTCTCTCTCTCTCCATGTAACGCAAATGCGGGTTGGTTCCACCAAAAAGTCCTCCACAAAGGCAAATTTCTCCCTATACTCGAGCCAGGAGTTTCGTTGTGTTCTGGATTGGGTTCAAAAAGACAAGGCTACAAAGTTGATCATTAGTAGTCGTAAACCCGAAAATTGGGTCTGCTGTTCAACAACTGTTACAATCCATGAAAAGGTTCCTTTTTCTTGAACGCATTAGGAAATGTGAAAACGCATGTTGCAAGTACCTTCTCAGTGTTTCCTTGTTAGTGCATACACAGTGTTGCCACTCCACAGGGAGAACAGGAAAACCTGGAGAATACGGGGAATTTAAAAATCATCTATAATAACAGGGATAATGCAGGGAATTTTCAGTTTTTCTTTACGAACTGGGAAAATACAGGGAATTTTATTCCTTATTTTCTTCTTTTAAAAGTGGATATGGGATATTTGTGGATGATATTTCAGCTATATTAAACTATTTCATTTAGGTATTGTAGCATTATTTATTTTAAGTATGTTAAGCTGTTCCTTATTTAAATTTTTCCACCAATTAAAACGAGCATAGCTAGACTAAAATTAATCACTGGAAAGCACAGTGATTGTTTGTTTTCTCTTAATCTATTGCAGATAATATGTACAGGAAAAACACAGGTTTTTTCCAGATTTGAGTGGTGCAGCGTTATAAGAGTTAGCTCACTTTTCTTCAGAATGATTTCATTTATATATATATTTTTTAATGTTTAAAATGATCTGCCAAAATTAATGTTGAGTTACATTTTTATTTTTATTAGTTAATATATATTAAATTCATCTACAGTAAGACCCCGCTTAACGCATAGGATACGTTCCATCAAAGTAGAGCGTAATGCGAAACAGCGCTAAACGAGGCTATCTTAACATGTAAATAATGGGGTTTGGGGAAGATGGATAGAAAATTGGTTAGGTATTAAATTTAATACTTATGTTTTTTTTAATAAAAATAAAACCTCAGATCATTCAGTCTATTTTGTGTTTCCAATTTTCTGCCTTTTTTTCAAGAAGGCATCTAATGTAGTTTGTGTTTTCCTTTTGGGTTCTGTTAGAAGTTGTTGATAAGTAGATTTTGGATCATTTTCAACAAATTGGTCCATAATTTAAGTTGTAGTGATCAAACTCCTTTTTACAAACGCCATCGAAAGTTCTTTTTGATCTTCTTCGAAATCACTACAATCAATATTTTTGTTTTCTTCTTGTGCAGTTAATTCCTTGAGCTCATCATTAGAAAGACTAGCTGCTGTTTCTTGAACTATTTCTTCGACGTCTTCCACATTTACCTCATCTAAACCGGTTTGTTTTGCTAATTCCACTATTTCATCTATATCAACAGAGTGTCCAATGTCTTCGATCTTACTTAAATCTGGCCAAATATTCTTCCATACTCCTTTCAAAGATTTTTCTGTTATCTCATTCCAAGAAAGGTTTATGTTTTCTGCAGCATTCATGATATTGTAGTTTTTACAAAATTCTCTTATTGATTGCTTCTCTTCTCCGTCTATTTTGTCAAACATCTGCTTCAAAGTTCGCCGCAAGTAATAAGCCTAAAAATTGGATATAATGCCTTGGTCCATTGGTTGGATTAAGGCAGTTGTGTTAGGTGGCAAAAAACTACTTCGACTGGAATGCATGTTGTTAAGTCTGATAAATTTGTTGGGTGGCTTGGAGCATTATCAATTAATAGTAGTGCTCTTTGTTCAAGTTTTTTAATTTCGCAGTAACGTTTAACAGACGGGCAGAAATGTTCAGTAAAGGAATTCTGGAACATTTTCATAGTTATCCATGATTTTTTATTAGACTCCCAAATTAAAGGTAAAATTGATTTGGATATGCCTTTCATTGCTCTTGGGTTTTTGGAGTGGTAAACTAGTAGTGGTTTTTTAATTTGAAATCTTCGCTTGCATTACCACCCAGTAGAAGTGCTAAGCGATTTTTTGCGGCTTTAAATCCTGGTGCTCGCTTCTCTTCACGGGATAGAAATGTTCTTTTGGCATTCTTTTTCAATTCCTTGTTAAATTATTGTTTTTAATGTAGCTGGGAATTCAGCCGCCACTTTCGTATCGCCACTTGCTGTTTCTCCTGTAATCTTTATGTTGTGAAGATTATTTCGATGTTTAAATCTATTAAACCATCCTCGACTAGCAATGAAAGTTTCACTAATGTCACTTGCCTCAACTTGAATGTAATTAAGAATTCTTCTAGCTTTTTCCATTATGATAGATTGGCTTAATGGCATATTGCGTTCAATTTCGTGGTCAATCCATATAGACAGTCGTTTTTCCATTTCCTCTATAATGTTATTTCTAGAACGGGTAATTCTAGTTGCAGAGCTCGACGTAGTTGCAGTTGCCGATGACAGTATCTTTTCTTTATTCTTAATTATTGTCCTTATTGTTGAAGTTGACAAATTCAATGCAGCACTAATTTGAGATTGACATTCACCAGAATCTAATCTTCTAATCACTTGCATTTTAGTTTCCAGTGAAATGCTTTTTCTGGTTGCTTTCTTTTCTTGTTTTTCATTATCACCCATGATAAAAACTAAAGATCATAATATTTGTCACTGTATCAATCGTTATAGTATTATATAAATTTATATGTACTTACAATAATGTCAACAAATGTTTCGAATGATAAAAGTGCTTCCGTACAGCACCGTATCAAACAAGAAACACAACTACACTGTTTCGGATATGTTATATACATATACGGGGAATCCCCGGGTTGAAATAAAAGAGCGCTAAACCGAAACAGCGCTAAATGAAACAGCGTTAAGCGGGGTCTTACTATACCTGTATTTTTATCAAATTTAAGATTATTATTCTGACCGTACATTTTTTTATAGCAAAAAAGATTTTATTTTTAAACATATTTTTTTCTTTTACATTATGTATTTCTTTTTTGAGATCATCTTTTTCTCCGTACTTAATTCTAAAAATACCATATTGTTGCTTGCTTTGAATTTTCTTTGAATTTTTTTGAATAATTTTTTGCTCTACTGAAAATTCTAAGTTTTTTGGTATGGAAATTTTGAAGGATGAAAACGGAATTAGTTTATCTTAAACTTAGGATATTTAATTATTAATTACCAATATATGACCTAAATAATATATGAAAACTAATCTTTCTCTACTTAAAAGGTGAAGGTAGATGTTTTAATCCAACAGATAATTTAGTCAATCAGACGGATTATCAGAAATTATTGATTAACTTTCATAATTGACAAACAGAGTATGTTGCTATCTTTCTTTTGTAAGCAGTTTTTTATTGCAATTTAATAAATGTCCTGAGAAAAGGCATTACATTTTGGCTGAAAAGGTTTTGAAATATTCTATTAAAATTATATTCTGTTGTTAGAAAGATGAAGTTTTGCTTTATGATTAAGAATTGTGATTTTTTTTTCTTTGTTGAAGAATTTTGCAGATGCAAGCTAGGGAAATGTTGGAGGAGGTAAATCCTTTTCCCGGTGTGTAAATATATTAGGTAATTCTGTGACCTTGTGAAAAATCAAACAACACAACACACAACATGTAAAGCTGAACTATTTGCTGTTGCTGAAACAGAAAGAGTATTAAAATGGATTATAAGTAAAATTAATTGTAAACATTTTATAAATGCTCAAACTAAAAAAATTTCTGTTAATCAAGCATCCATTGACTGATTAAATAATGTTGTGTCTATGACATAGCCGAATCAAATGTTTCCATGCGTCTTGATTACTGCTTCTGAGATTTGCTTGATATTATCGTCATAAAGGTCTATCAATGACGGCAAGACTCCTTTTTCTCTCAGATAAGCACTCATTGCTGGACACTCAAAGATGTGGCATGGCGTCAGGTGCGTATCTGGGCAGTTTTCACAATTCCTGTATACTTTCCTGCCCTCTCTGTCGATCTTTATGCCCCTGTGGTGATTGGTTCTCAGCCTGGCTATAGTTTTTGTTGTGGATCTATCTGCATTTATATTACAAATCATGTCTTTAGTTGGAATTGGTTTTTCTCTCAGTTTAGATTTAGCAATTGCATTTGCATCTTGGATGAGGACGTTACAGTCATTAATGTTGAGATTTCTGGCATCCTTGGCTAATTTATATGCATTTTCATTGCCTGCAATATCAACGTGTGCTGGTATCCACTGAAGAGTACAGGTTCTGTTTAAGTCCTGAAGATCATGAAGATTTGAAATGATTTCTTGGGTGATAGAAGAGTCCCATTTTAAAATTGCTTGGAGGGCAGCCTTCGAATCGCAGAAGATAACAAGGCCCTTTGCTTGCTCAGAGGTGGGAAGGGCTTCATACATATTAAGGGCCTCCAAATTGCCCGTAGCTAGCAGGCGAAGTTAGAGGCTATAGCGCCTACTCCAAATTTACCTTGTTTAGGGGAATTACTTAAAGTAGTTAAAAACACCTCGGAGCCTCCATTTGTGATAGTTTTATCAGAGGAACCATCTGTATATGCATGTACAAAGTTCTCTTTTGGAATCTGTTCAATTGTCTTGAGTCCTTTTTCTTTAATGATATCATTGTTTTCATTTTTATTGCCTGGCTGCAAGAGGTCAGTGTGGATATTTGTGTTCAGTTGAAGCCTTTTGTGGAAGATTGGTTCTTGTAGAATGACATATTTGTTGTGCTCAAGGCCTACGCTTGCTCTGATATCTCTACCATATTGCATGGGTGAAAATTTTTTCAGTCTTATCTTGGCATTTCATTCTTCGAAGGTAATGTGCGAAATATGTTCAGGTACGCGACTTCGCGCTTTGTTGGTGAACTTTATCATATTTATGCTTCTTCTCTTTTGAAGACTTTCTAGACCACACTCTCTGATTATCTTGCCATTGTTGGTGGAAGACACTGCACCGGTTATTATCTTTGCTGCTCTTGCTTGTACGCTTTCCAACTTGTTTAGGGTGGTATCAGAGATTAAATAATGGTAAATCATCAAATAAAATTAGACATATAAATGTGAAAATTGATTTTCTTACAGATATGAGTGATGATAAAATTTTTAAAGACAGTGTATTAAAATACTAATATTATTATTTCTGATCTTTTAACAGAAGTTGTTACATTTGATAAATTGAAATTTTCTTTGAAAAAAATATGCTTATTTTAAAATGAATTTAATTTGTTTATTAAATATGTTTTTTTAATATTTTGATATATATTATTGTTTTTCAGATAGTAAACCCTTTTTGCAGGAGAGGAATGTTGTATTAAATGATGCTATTAATGTTTTTCTATTTATTGATGGTGCTTTTTGTGTTTTCAATTGATGGTGTTTTGCAACTCGATAACAAATGCTACTTTGTTCTTGGTTCACTTTTAGTCAACAGCGAATTTTGCTACATGTTTGTTATATTAAACTAAATTTTTACAGTAATAATCTCTATTTGGCTAGTGCTTGTAGACAAATATGGATTTATGAAGATAATACTGTAGATGTTCTATAAAGTATACTCTTTATTCTACTATCGGTGATATAACCAAACCATATGAGGCAAAATACAGCTGGTCTTTTCTATAGCTATGGACATAAATTATATAATGTTTTGTATAAAGAGATAATGGAGTTGTTTATATTTATACATCTTGTTTTTAATTTTATGAATTTAAAAAAAAATGATGAAATTGTCCCATAAAGTAGGAATAAAAATTAAAATAATTTTGCCAATGGTTTAAGGACCAGTAACTAACAGATATTTCTAGTCAGTATACATTTTTACTGATTCGTTTATAGGTGTCTGTATTATTATTATTATTATTTTTTGAAAAAGAAAAATATTTAATAGTGTGTTTAAACCATATGAAAAATGTCACAATTAGAATGAAATAAGCTATTTTGTTACAGAAACACAGACCATATTATGAAACCAAATATCAAAAAGCATTCAATCACTTTACATAATTGATATTCCAGGTAACCACGTATAATTATTTTATGGTGGTCCTAGTCCAATTTAAGTGGTCTTGGACAGGGTTCGTAGTTGTGCTGATATTCCTGCTATTTTTTTCCATTCAAAATTTAACATTTAAGTTAACATTTGATTTTAAAAATATTATTTGGATTTTTTGTTTGTTTCTTTTACTAGGAAAGAAATAAGAAAAGTTAGACCTATCAATGTCAAAACCAGTATTTTTTTTTGCACAAGGAAATCCGAAACATGTATTAATTAAAAAGGTGTGTGAAAATGAAACTCTCCTCTTTATGTTGCCTATTCCTCAAAAAGAAAAAAAAAATATTCCTCTGTGGAACACATTATTGTTGAATCAAATTTTCCTCTTAAACAACCATCTCAAAATAGTTTTTATTTTTGTATTTTTAAACCTTTTTTTTATAAGTCAGTCACATGCATTAAAAATCAATCGAAGTTTAGTGATATCTTAAAATAAGTGATATTATGATATTAATATAATTATTTGTTACATTAAGGAATGGAAGTTGAATAAATGGGTAATAATAAATCATTATAAAAAATGATAAAAAAAACTGCAAACAATTTTGAAGAAATAAACCTTCCTTTCATATTACATTTTCATATTTTTAAATGAAACACTAACTACACAATCGCTGAATTTCAAAGTATGCCTGAAATTTTTTTAAAAAGTCAATTCATTTTTTAAATAGTGCAAAACAGCTATTCTTAATATAAAAAGGAAAATTTTTCTTTAATGAAAATTATTTAAAAGAAATAAATAAGTTCTATTGTGAAAAGTCTAGATTCATGTAAATGATATCTGGAAAACCATTCAATGATTTAGGTTTTAAATTTGTTTAAATTAAAATGAAAAAATTGAAATTCAGCAATAATTCTATTTGTTTCAAATTATAGTTAATTACTAATTAGTAAGTGTAGTTTATAAGCATTAAAATTTTAACAATCTTATAAGCTACACTTACATTAAGTGTAGTTTATGTATAGTCTAGTTATAGCAATCTTTTTTTTCAACACAGTGCAATAATTTCATTAGCACTCTATCTAGCATAAGTTTTTTAGAATACCATTGATTAAGATAAGGATTATTTCAATTAAAAAGAATTTTGAAATAAATTTTCTGATATGTGAGGATAAGGAGAATTATTTAGCAATTCTGAGCTTGAATAAAATTCATAGGCAAAGACACTTATCCTTTAAATATTTTGTGCCTATAATTAATAGAACTAATTGTTGCAACAGATTATTTTGTTTTAAATCTATTATCCAATCTTATTAATATTTTGTTGTAAGTTTATCGCAAGTTTTTTGTATATCTTTGGTTAGAATGTTTTTTCTAAAATACTTTATTACATAGAGAAATTAAATAACTTATGAGATTTCGAAACAAGATTTGAAAATGAATCATTTGTAAATTCTATCTTTAACTAAACTCAGTGACGCAACAGCCCATAGAGGGCCAAGACCTACACTGCCCATCTCAGTTTTCTTGACCTTGGGCTGTGGGGTGCAGGAGCAGATGTTCCTGTTAGGTGGTCAGCCGAACACAAAACCCCCCAGTGTTTAGTTCCCAAGCATGCTTGGTACTCATTTATCGACCCACTGAAGGGATGAAAGGCCGAGTCAACCTCGTCATTAGTAGAAATGCCATTAGTAGAAAATGTCATTAGTAGAAATGCCATATAAAAAATGTCATATTCTAATTTTGAACCATTAGAAAGCTTGTCTTGGATCAACTGGCTACTGTAAATGTTGCCCCGCAATATTTTTTTCTATTCTATATTTTCTTTGAGTTTAAAAGTTTGCAATTAATAGATGTAATGATGAGTGTTAGCTTTAAGAAGCAAGTTTATTTATTTCAATTTTGCTTTCAGTTGTATTCCTTGAAAATGAGCTGTTATATGGTGTTTCTTTTGAAATGTCTGATGAAGCTATGTCCAAAGATTTTGTTTTGCCGATTGGTAAAGCCAAAGTTGAAAAAAGTGGTAAGTTTTCTAACTTTATTTATTATTTGTTATTAGTAATAAAAAATAAGGTTAATAGCTGACTGAAAGGTATTACTTCTTATTTTTATATCCAATCATTTAAGAATTATGGTGTATCTGGAATACAACTTTAAAACAATGCTTTTACATGCTACTTTTTGTATAAAAATCGACTTTTTTGTTTGATTTGCTTCCAAAATAGTTAATAGTTGAGTTATGGGATTTCATGTTCTCTCCCTCATTTACTCTATTGCTTTTAAAAGGCCTTGTAATGAAAAGCTAAAGAGCTTTGCTTGGGTCTGTCTAGCTTTTTTCGAAAGGTGTCTATTTTGTGAAAATTTAGACATAATTTGTGAAAATTGAAAATTATATTAAAAAATCAACACAAAAATATGGTAAAATAAGAAAATATTTTCTCAAATTGTTACTACAAATAAAAATCATTTATGACTGGTAAGATTTTTTCTCATACATTCAGAAACAATTTTGCTATTGTAAAATTTTGAGCTTAAAAATTTTATCCAAATTTAAAAATCCATAAAAATTATTGTTAAATTTAAACTTGAATTTAATAAAATCATGCATTTAACAGCACTAGCACTAATAGCTATTTTCATTATAACATTTTCAACTAGCTCATACAGAAAAAAAACTTCATAGGGGAAAAAAATTTTCGTAAAAAAATAAAGGTCAGTTTATTTTTTTACAATTTTTTAATAATACAACAAATTTACAATAATGTTTAAGATAATGTTTGAATTTCAACTTCCTGTAAAGTTTATAGAGGGAGAGCCTCATTGTTTCATTTTAAAAACTCAGCACAATTCACCCGGTTTTTTTAGGGGGATACAATAACAAAATTTTAAGAGGCAGAGAGGAGAATCTTAGAATTTGCTTTTTTAAAAGTATTTTGTGAAAGTGCTGCTAAATAGTTGTAAATTCACCCTGGAAAGACCCCTGATTTGGTGGCCTTGACGTTTAGCAAAGGGTGTTGGAAGAGAAAATAGAGATTTGTCTTGATGAAAACATTCAAAGATTTCTGAAACAAACAAACAAAAAAAAATTTTGAGGAAAATTTGTAAAAAAAAATTCCGAAAAAGTAACGATTTCTTCGACATTTTCGTTACAAATACTTGTACTTTTTCCTGAAGAAAGTTATGAAAAAACAAGTAAAACTATTAAATTTAAAAAGTAACAAAGTACATGTAAAAGTACATACTTTTACTTTTGTTACAAGAAATGGAAGTAAAAGTATTGCCATGTCTGATTTTAATAGCATAATTAACTTGCTTTGAAATGTGCTCTTAACTTTGAAGAAAAAACTTTCTACTAATCCCTTTATTTTAAGAGAATGTTTAAATTAACCAAATAAAGCATGTTTAAGAGGAATATTTGCAAATAATTTAAAGTTTGAATTTTAGGTCAGCACATAACATTGGTGGCACATTCCAAGGCGGTCGGAACTTGCTTAGAAGCAGCAAAAGAATTAACAAGTTCTGGCATAGATTGTGAAGTAAGTTGTAAACATTCCTAATTTTGAAACATATTCTGCTTTGCAATGTTTGTGTTATGTTTTAGCATTGACTAGTCACTGCTGAACTAAAATGTTTGTTTCTAAAATAAAGCGTGTCATTCTGCTTCACTTTAAAAAAAATGTGTACTGGGCACAATTAAATATATTAAATTAATTAGATTATATTAAATAATATATTAATTATTTATATTAAATAATATATTAATTATATTAAATAATAAATAATTATATTATAATAAGTTAATATTATAACAAGAGTGAGTCATAGTTTTTTTATCATGCTATTCTTACAAATATAAGTTATGTGAATGTACAAAGCAAAACGGACCACCCTAAATTACTTTTAATCTAATGATCAGATCTCCACAATCTGAGATTCATTCTTAATAGTTCCAGGGGGTGACCTCAAATATGCTAATTAATTAGTGCAGATGATATTTTAAGTTACAAAATCGGACACAAAAACGTAATTTTTAGGAATAAACATACCTTTTTTCAACGGATTTGAATTTCTGACTTCTAAAATATGGGGGGTAGCGGCAATCAGGGAAATATGGCCCCCATAGTTTGCTCAGGAGAGCGATTCAAATATTAGACCCCTTAATGTTAAATTTACTTTTTGCATATTTCGCCTTATCTCGAGAACGTTTTAAGTGAATTGAAAAATTTCTGAACGCACTTATAAAATTTGTTTATCCAAAGATAATCATATGCAAAAAAAAAAAAAAGTTTTAGTATACATTTATTATTTTATTTAATAATATTTGAAAAAACTTCGAATTGTAAGGTATATAATTTTTTACATCATTTTAAAATATGTAATTTTACGTGGCAAACTGTAAAATTTGAGCGAAATAGATTGAAAAATTGAATTTTAAAAATATAACTTCTTTAAAATTCTATTTCTCAGGAAGTATTCAACCTATTTTGCTCTAATTATGTATTTTGCCATGTAAAATTACATACTTTAAAATAATATAAAAAATTATATACTTTACAATTCCAAATTTTTTCCACTATTATTAAGTAAACTAAATTTATTTTTTGCTTAGAATTATCTTTGATGAACGAATTTTATAAGTGCTTGCAAAAATGTTTCAATTCGCTTTAAAAGTTCTCAAAATATATCGAGAGATGAATGCAGAACTGTACTTTTCCTAGCGAGAATACATATTGTAAGTGCATTTGTGTATCTTTCGCTGAATTAATTGTGACTCTTTCAAGCGTTTCAGACCATTTGAGATGGGTAAATGGGTGGCTCTGCTGTATCTGACCACATGGAGAGTTAGGACACGCCTTTTCCAGATAGTACTTCGTTAATCATTGATATTTTGTCTTGAGAATATTCAATTGCTAAAACAAAGAGGGAAAGCTTCATTAGGGGGAAACCAGTTTGATATTTTTGAATAGGTCAGAAGTAAATCAAGATGAAATGCTAAAGTGCAACAATAAGGTTCCCAGTACAAACTTATTGTCTTGTACTTGACCTTCCAAAAAAAGAATCATCATGCGTGCATAAGCTGACCACCTCTTTAATTATCTTCTCTGAGCGTGTATAAGCTTCACATTAAATTCTGCCTGTTCATCTGCAGAGTTATGCAGGAAGAAGATGCATCTTAATTTTGATATCATGTATTGTGGTAGTCTTATTATTAGTTTTCATTCAAACCTAAATTGTTTTTTACTTTATTTCAGGTCATTAATTTACGCACCTTAAGGCCTCTCGACGAGCAAAGTATTTTGAATTCTGTTATGAAAACTCATCATTTAATCACCGTCGAACAAGGCTGGCCCCAATGTGGTATTGGATCAGAAATTTGTGCTAGAATAATTGAAAGTGAGTCTGCTCTGGTTGTATTTTTATTTTTAATTGAAGATTATTTTAGTAGCTCTGCACAGCAGCAGTATTCCGTCATTTCATTCTTCCATTGTGAAATTTCTTTTAGGAAGGTTTTGTTTTACGAACAGGATAAGTTTCCTGTTTCCAAATATTTATTAACAGTTTCACAATATGTATTCTGTAATTGAGTATACAGCTGACTGAATGCAACTATTTATAGTATTTTTGATCAGTTCAATTACCTAATATAGTAACACAGCGTTGAACAGAGACGAGTTAACTTGTCTTTGGACTTACATTATCTATTTAAATTTAGGAATATTTCAAAGTTTATTTTCATTTCATTCAGTCTCATTAAAATTTATTGTTTAAAATGTTTTGTTTTGCTTTCCTATTTCATTATTAAACAGTAATTGTTGGGACATTTTAATGTGGCAGTAATGGGCAGTGCCCGACTTAGCCCAATTGAGGCCGGGGGTAGAAACTTCTTTTGGGGCCCCCCTCTGCTTTACTATTTTAGTAATGAAGAACCGAAATTTATGGAGGTATTTAAGTTTTGCGATATGTAAAAATACAGCTTTTCATTGGCCAAATTTCACCATCATAATTGCTAAAATTTAGCTGAATTCCACCCGCTGAATTTACAAAATATGGATTTTTTGTGTTCAAATGATAGAAGCTAACATAAAGCTTACGAATTTTACTCTGTACTGATATTTTGTTTAACAAAAAGTTCAATAACGAAGGAAATGTGAAATAAACTTTCTATTTGATTTGGAAGCCCCCTCTGATGTAGGGGCCCAGGACAACTTCCCCTGCCTTAGTCAGGCTCTGGTAATGTGACATTTCTGTGTAAAATTGCCAGTAAATAAAGTGCTAAGAGATGGAGAACTCTACACAGTTTAGCAGTATATATTGTTTTCTCCATTTCTTTTCAGAAATCTTTTGAATTGCATCAAACATCTAAAGAGAAAATGGTTCTAGCTTGGATTAGCATTTTATAATTAATGTAAAGCTTGATGTAATGAGTAGCATATTCATAGTCGCTGTCAAAATCCTAATCTTAAAGATATAAAATTGCATGTTTATAAAGAGTTAAAACCGTACAATTCTAATAGCCTTCCAATATTGTAAAAAGAAAATTTTTTGAAATACTTTTTTCTACTGTTTAAGTGAGCAATGTTTTACAGAAAAGCTTTAGATAAAAGATATTTTTAGTGTGCAATTATAAAGCAATGTGTGTGTAACATTGGTTAAGTTANTAGTCACTGTCAAAATCCTAATATTAAAGATATAAAATTGCATGTTTATAAAGAGTTAAAACCGTACAATTCTAATAGCCTTCCAATATTGTAAAAAGAAAATTTTTTGAAATACTTTCTTCTACTGTTTAAGTGAGCAATGTTTTACGGAAAAGCTTTAGATAAATGATATTTTTAGTGTGCAATTATAAAGCAATGTGTGTGTAACATTGGTTAAGTTATCTTGTTTTTAACAAAAGAAAGTTCTTCTACTATTTTAAACACGTCCTGCTATATATCTATCATACCCTTTTTGACTAGTTTCTATTAGAATCAGCATTTACTGTTACCTCAAAAGGTACTGCCCTTCATTTCATTTTCTAGCAAAAAATAATTTGGGGGGTTGCTGTTCAAACATTTCAGTCCTTCATGAAATAAAGAACTATGTCATTCAGTCTACAATCTGTAACAAAAGCAGTCTACTCTAGATATGTGTTTATAAATCAACATAGTTCTTCAAAATAAAAGAAAAATAAGGTAAATTTTCTATTTAATATTGTTATTTTGACATTAAATATGTGTATTTGCTTATAACAACAATTCATGTTCTATAATGAATTGTTGTTATGACAGATTTTATTGTGTAGACAGAGGTGCCAGCTATTACAATTTATCTCTAATTATCAGAGATGCCAACTTGCTCTAGACAGCAAATAAATATTTTCGAGTAGTAGTTTATTAATGTGTGATTCTTGGTTTAAAAAATTCCATTTGTTAGGTTTTTATCCTCCACTATTTCTAAATAATTCGAAAGCTTATATAATTCGCCACTTTGTAATAGTTAAGTTTTGTTATATCGTTTAAAAAGTAAGCAAAATTAGTCAAATATTTGCACATTTTAGTTTGTAGTTGTTTACCGTTTTTTAAATAATTATGGCTCGTCCGGAGCAGTTGGCTTCTCATAATTATTACATTTATATTGTCAAGACAACGATCTTACATTTCAGCTATAAAAATTATGTGCGATTGAACCGAATTTCAGTAGAATAAGTCTCTCCCTATTACTACTGAGCATTATAAAATTTTGTTGTTTGCAATTAATCTACGATAATTTTTTTCCTTCTTTTTAAACACTTCTAAAAGCAATAAATATAAGAAACAAAAATCCGATTTGATAGAAAAACGAAATAAAAGAAAAGTAAAGTAGTCTCATAATTTCTTCTTCTAACATCATTTCCTCTTCCAGCTAACTATTCTGAAACTTAATATTTCCTTTATTTTTAAATTAAACAAACAAAAGAACTAACTTAAATCTGAAATGCTGTGAGCAAAACTTTTCATTGGTTAAAATAACAAACAAGGAATGATAAAAAGACAAGTTTTAATTTAAAAAAAAACTAGAAAATTGATTGGTAATAAAATTAATTTAATAATGAAGTTTGAGTTGTATAATTCTTAACTTAATACTTTTTTATTTAATTTTAAATTTATGCATAATGTTATAAATATACATAATATTTATACATACATATTATTTATACATCTTAAAATTACTCATATTTGATTTATGTAAACACTTAAGTATATATTGATGATTACTTCTGATTACTGACACCTCTGTATATTCTCACATTTGAGAAGCACCATAAAATTGTTTTAGTAACTTTATCCAGTAATTTTAAGAATTTGGCAAACATAGGTTAAGTAACAAACATGTTTATTCTATTTATCATTACTCCGAAGAGAACACAATATTTTCACCCAACAACTTTTAATAAAACAAATGAAAAATTGCCACATTGAAGTTAAATATTTTATTTATTTATTTTTTTGAAAGAATGTTTTAACTCTTACAGGTCCTGCATTTGACTACTTAGACGCCCCTGTTGTTAGAGTAACAGGTGCAGATGTACCCATGCCTTATACAAAGAGCCTTGAACCTCTTGCAATACCCCAGGCACAAGACATCATACTGGCCGTTAAAAAAGTCCTCAATGCTTAACTTCAGAACTAATTGTAGATATTATTATTGACACAATTTTTTTAAAGACTCTGTAAAATACCCAAACCGACCTTATTTTTAGAGAACACTATGATGACGGGACTTTTTTCTTCATATGTATAAAAGACTTTAACGTTATTTCATTCGACATAATTTCTGAGAAAATATTTATTGAAAAAATAAATTGTTAGTCATTTACACCCATCGCTGTTTTTCCCTTATTGTTTAAATTGTTTTCTTTATATGTTGAGAGTTAAATTATCTTCCTATGAAATACGTCTTGTTTTAGAAATACAGTAAAAGCGCTATGTTATGAGTACAGCATTTTACGGCACTTTTCTAAGTCACCGTCAGTATATAAATATTAAACATGTGTTTATGTTGAGTAAATATCTAGGCTTATACCAACAAATTGCTTTTTGTTAAGTAACTTTCTCTGTTTAAATTAAGAATGCGATAGAAAAAAGTGCAAAATGGAAAATATTTGCTTTCATATATAAGGTATTTCTTTCTGGTATCAATATTTATATTGAGTAAATAACTAGGCTATACCAACAAATTGCTTTTACTTAAATGAGAAATTTTCTGCTGTTTAAATTAGGAAAATTGTACAAAATGTAAAAACATTAGCTTTCATATTTCTTTCTGGTATCAATATAGAAAAGTGACAAACAGGCATCCATTCTGCCACAATATTAACCCTTAATGTTCATAAAGCAAACCTGTGTTCGATCACCATGCCAGTAAATCTTCCAAAAGAAAAGTTCTGCTAATTTTAGGAACAGTGTTGAACACTTCAAGAGAATCCACCCTTTTGTTGATCGCAAGTATCCCTTCTTGATAGTTTGCCTAAACATTCAATGTTATTTATGAATTCAAAAGCTGCTTTTTTTAACATTAAATATGTGCATTTGCTTATAACAGCAATCACATTTGTTATTGTAAATTGTCGCCATAGCAGGCTTTTACTTTATTTGTGATAATGAAGAGTTCCATGGGGGGGGGGGAACGAAATTATTGAAATATATGTTGTAATATATGATTTTTAATTAAATAAAACAATTTTTCTTTTAATAAAAGATTGTGTTTTGTAAACAATGTTCTCTCATTACTGGCATTTTTTAAAACTACTGTTTCCAAACTTACTATGATGTCACTAAGCCCTTCAATTATATGTGGATGGTGAGCAGTCTAATGGTAAGCCACATTTTCGTATTGTGTTAGTCAGAAAAGAGTTTTTGGTATCCAGGTAAGAAATCTGTTTTTGCGAACTGTACTATGTCCATGTTGCTTAAAGGAAATTCCAGAAAACAGTACTCGACATTGCATAACATGTATTCACTTCAAAAACAGATTGCAGATACTCTTGCTAGAAATGGTTTATTTTATAATCATCGTTGAACCTCCGACCTTATTGTTAGGTTTTACGAATGATAATGTTCAACTCTGTAGCCTTGTAATTTGAACCTAATCCAGAAGACAAGGGAACTCCTAGATCAAGTATTGGGAAAAATTTTCCTTCGTGGAGAACTTTTTATTTGATGGAACTAACCCACATTTGTGTTACATGGAGAGGAAAATCTCCCCGTTATCCTGACGGCAAGGGGACTCTAACTCATGATCTCTCTATCACTGAAGATATTTTACATCACCACTGTGATTAATGCAAGTGGGATGCAGAATTCATATGCACCAGTCCTTGTTGGGATTAGAAACCGGTTCAAAAGATATAAAAACAAAGAATAAGTTTAAAAGAATAAATGACCAATTTGGAAAAAGTCTTAACTGTATTATTCTATAATAATTTTTAGAACAAAAAATTAAAATAATCTGTCATGTCTAGGCATAAAATATTTCCTAGAATTTAAAAATTAATTTAGTATTTCATGTACTCTTCTTGATAAATACAGTACAGAGCAAAAAAATTGAGACTTTTCAAAAATACTTTATTTAAGTAAATAAAAATAGAAATAAAAAATTAAAATGCATTTTAAGATGTCTTCTTTTTACACAACATTATGCAGATAAATCAGCATTAATAACCATTTGAAGCCATCTTGGCACAGATTTAACAAGAGACTTCAGAGTATCGAAAGTTGTTTTGTCCCATATTTTTACCAAAACTTCCTTTAATTTTCTTTAGTCTTTCCTGCTTTTTTTAACTTTATTCTACTTGCTGCGGTACTGGAATCAGAGGATGAAGCAGGCCACTTGTACCAAATCATAATTTGTCTTGAAGTGTCAGGACATTGTTTTATTATAATATAAATAGTTGTCAGGACATAGTTTTATTGTATCAGAGAGCCAAACTCGCTATGGGACTGAAATCAGAGGAGGAAGCTATATTATAGTTTGTCCTGAAGTGTCAGGACATAGCTTTATTGTATCAGAGAGCCAAACTCGCTATGGGACGGAAGCCATATTATAGTTTGTCTTGAAGTGCGAGGACATTCTTTTATTGTAACAGAAAGCCGTCGGGGTAAATAGTTTCCTAAGTAGGAAGGCAATTTTACTAATTGTTCAGAACTCTATTATTTTTTCATGCTAAGCATGATATTCTATGCTTATCATTTGCTGAAAACTCCAGATCCTGGTCTTCTTTAAGCTCCTTTTGTTTTTTTTAGAAAGCTTTTTCATATAAAAAACTGCAGCTCTGTACTTTCCAGTCATCAGTTTTCTGACGTCGTGAGTACCCATGTTTATTTCTTTCCTGGATCTTCACTGAAATCAAATTTTTAAAATGAAATGATTTGTATTGAGTAATAATGATCAATAGTTTAGTTTCCTCATATATTTTATATAGAAAATGAAATTACAAGAATCATCGAAAATGCAGGTCTCAAATTTTTTTTTCTTCTTGCTTTGTACTGTATAATCCATTTAATTTTTTAAGACCAAACTACAATACTTTAAACATCTAAATACATTTTTTCAATTTTTAATATGTAACGAGTATTGAGTAATCATGACCAATAGTTTAGTGTCCTCATATATTTTACATACAAAAGGAAATAACAAGAATCATCGAAAAGTCAGGTCTCAATTTTTTTTGTTGCCTTGTACTGTATAATCCATTAAAATTTTTAATATGTTACTTTGAAATCTGACCCAGATAATAAAATAACTATAACAGAGAAAACAAAAAGGTTTCATGGTTATTGCTGTAAATTAAATTTACTAAGTGAAAAAGTCAAGAAAAATTGTGAAAAATGTTAATAATTTTATTAAACAATGAAACAGTAATTTCTATCAATAAAGGAAAAACTATAAACATGATTAAAATAAAAAATATACAATTCAAAGACCTAAAAAAATAAAAATTAAATATAATATATCTTTCATTACATCTGAAGTACATAAAAATAGTTGCAACTCTTCCATTGTAAGACACTCGGCTTACTCGGTATAAAATAATCCTTTATCGATTCTCTGAATTTAAGTGAATCACAGCCACAGTACTGTTCGTGTCTGGGTTTGCCGAGCGAGGAATACTGTATGTTTCAGAGCACCAACGAGGGTCCTTTTTCCACAAGTTTTTTCTGTCCAATTCTTGGGGTACAATTAAAAATATTTCTCGGTCCTTCCCTCTTATCTGCTCTCGGAGGTAAGACATAAGATCAGATTCCTAAAATGTAAAACAGACATCACTAATTTTTAATATCTTGTAGGTAAACTTTGCTAACATATTTTTGGTATGCAGGACTACTAGGAGAGGTAAAAAGTGGGTTAAATCTTTTTAATAATCTAATAATTGGTGTTCAATAAATATTTTAGTGCTAGAGGGTTTCACTAATTACTCATAGATGCTGACCTATAGCTTGTTTATATAGTATTACTAGTTTCAAATATTAATTTTATATTTTCACGTTTCTTAAATTTTCACAACTATTCATCGTAATGCGTTATGTTTCATTTTCCTCACAATGCTAACATAGTTAATTGTAGATATTTTATTATTTTCACAACTGTACAGCATCATGCATATTTCGAAAAGGAAAATTATTTTTCACTGTATCGTTTGTTTTAATTATTCATGTTTTATTTTCAAATTTCCACACTATTTAGCATCATGTGTTTGACAGTGTCAATAAATTTAAATTTTCATATTGTACTCGCACACTCGAAATTTTAAAGAATAGCCCATCATGCATATTCTTAAAAAAATTTACCCTCAACAGTGTCAATTGATTTATATATTAATTTTCTACTTGACAATTTCCACTAGTTCTCAGCATCATATGTATTTTCCATAAAACAGAATTATTACATATATATTTTAACAGGAGCAATTTATTTTTATTGTATTGCGATTTCGCAGTTGTTACGCTTCAAGTTTAACTGCAAAAAACTGTTTCCTTCACAGTGTCACTAGAGATAAATACTATTACTACTATAAAGTTACTATTTTGCTTACAGATAATTGAAAAGCATTGTTTAAGGTGTGTTACATGGGTGTCTGTTCGAAGATACATAATCAAAATAAAAGTAGAAAAATCAAAATGATATCAAACCAAAATTTTAAAAATGTAGATAGGGTAGAACAACAAGATTAAAAGAAGTTAGTCCGCCTGTCATAATACAAGTCACTAACAGACATTTTATCTAAATTGCATCTTTTAAAAAAAAATTATATAGAAGATGTGATGAGAATTCCCCCCTTTAGAAAAGGAAGAGTAAATAAATAAATGAAAATAAATACTAAAATATAAAAATAAATAATACTCAAATTTGAAATAGTAACTGAAATATATGAAGCAGAAAAAAAAAGGTAAAATTTGTGTTAAAATGATTTTGGTCTTTTGATTTTCTTTTTCCTTTGCATATATACATTCACTTATATACATTACTGGCATATATACATTCACTTACACGTATGTGTGTTAAAATATTAAAAATGAAAAATCCTTAGGCAATTACAACATAAACTTAAGAAAAATTCTAAAGCAATAGAAATAAATTATAAAACTTTTCAAGAAACAACTACCATTATTAAAAAAAAAAAACATGCAGATGGATGGTGTAATGTAAGATTGAAAAAGGTGCGTGAAAAAAACGTTTTATTTTTCTGAGAATTTTTTTTATTATTCTGTATTATGACTTTATAAATTGTTTGCACTTTTAAAAATTATACTTTTCTGAGAATTTCTTAAATTTTATGACTATATTTCGTCATATACTTAGCTGCTTCAAAACTACTGCTTTACAGTGTTCAGATTTCCCTAGACCATATGACATGTTATGTGACGATGACACAGTGTAGTTGGCCCTCTACCAATTATCCCCTTCTTATAGGCGACCCCCCCCCTAAAGTTTCAGATTTGGACTGATTTTGCCAGTTTGAATTTTTTCTCTAGACATGAGAATCCTTAGGATGCTATACCACGGGAGAAACTTTTCATTCCAAATGCTCTTTCATCTCCATAACTAATTTAAAGTATAGAAAAAGTAAGTTCAGACAAACCTAGGATAAGCCATGTAGTTTTGTTTTCTGAAAAGAAATTTTCATAACATTAAAAGGTAAACAAATTATTATGCATAATCCTAAGTTTTCTTCTTGATGTTTGGAAAATTTCTTTTCAGTATTTGAAACATCATGGTATCTAGGTTTGCTCACTTTTTATATACTTTAAATTACCTATAGAGGTGAAAGAGAATTTGTGATGTAAAGATTCTCGTGGTATGGTGTTCTCTTGAGGCAGTTTCAGATGGAATAGAGTAAATGGAAGATAATTCATCGGCAAAAGGACTTCAACTGCAAAAACTGATAGAAATGTTGACAGGACCTTGAGTTTTACGATAGTTGATTCGTGGTCAGAATGATCAGAGAACAGTGAGTATACATTCAACTGGCATTTATCAGATTTTGAATAACGAAAAAAACATGCCACTGAGAACAAATAACAAAAGTAGCAAAGTGTCTTTTCGCACAGTAATATCAATAAATGTGCTTTGGGATACTTAGCAAATTCCTGAGGTTTCTTAACCTATTTACTCACCTGATTTGAGTTGTTTCTTTTCTCGAGATTATAAATTCTTGTGAGGGAACATGAGGGTCATTTTAAAACACTGAAAAATACTTAAAATTCTGCAACCAATCAGATAAAGGCTATTCCAGTGTGCGTTCCGACACTGCTTTTAGCAGTGGAAAAATTGTCACTGATGCAATTTAGTTTCCCAAGGGAATAATTTTGGGAAAAACAATATTAAATGGTAATTATTTTTAAATAAAAATATTTATAAAAAGATTTTTATAATAAAAATCAGTCTCATTACCATTACTTAATGTATACACTGTGAGATATATGGACCAGCATTTTATCTCATTTGATTCAATAAGTATTGGTATGAAATAAATATTGGACAGAATTATTGATGTTTACCTTTCCTATGACAGAAGGACGATCCAATTTTGAGTCGAGGTTATAAAAAGTGCCTTCAATTTCTTTCACAGCGATCCAGTGCTTCCTATTTAAGCGGAGTGGAAGGAATTTCATTTCACTGGGGACATTTAAAATCAAGCCATAAATTTTTGTGAAATCAATATTGCTTGGATCTCTGAAACAGAAATATACAATTTAATCAAGAGCAATGCACTATATTGTTTAAATAAAAACAAAAAGAAATAAATTAAAAAAGCATTTTGATCATAGGATTGGCATTTTGTCAGGAACTGTGGCAGAAAGTTATCGGGCTTTCTGCGACATACCTCTCTAATACTTATATCTTTCTGAAAACACTTTTAAAAATAACAAATATACTTGTTAGTAAATAGAAGTAACAGAAGTGTCAACTTTAAAAATTAAAAACAAACAATAGTAATAAAATAAAATAATTTTTTAATTAATTATTGAATATTTTTTTTATTCTAATTTTGTGGGTGATATTCTCGCATTTTGTAAATTATCATCACATTAAAAGAAAACAATTAAAAACTTTTGAAATCTGTAGCAGTAACTACCACAAAAAAAAAGAAGATAGACTACGAAATCACGTGAATCAGATTATGGAAAGGGTTACTAAATGCACGTTTTCATTTCGAGATTCACATGTTGTAATAAAAAATATCGTATTAAAAATATGGGATTTTGAAAACTGTGAAAATCAATAGTAATGACTGCATAAGGAAATTAAAACGAAAATTTCTGCAGAAAAGAAAACCAATTTTTTTTACTTATTCTTTATTTTTCATTATTTTCGAATGAGAATAGAAAAATCACAGGCATTTTTTTTTCCTACTCCGATGCGTGAGAAAGACATCTTTTGAATATAATTCTGAAGACAGGATAAAATCATTCGAAAATTTCTGCAGAAAAGAAAACAAACTTTTATCACTTTTTTACTCTTCATTTTTCATTATAAAATGTGAATAGAAAAATCACAAGCATTTTTTTCCACTCCAATGCGTAAGAAAAACATCTTTTGAATCTAATTCTGAAGCAAAGATAAAACTTTCAAAAATTTTTGCAGAAAAAAACCCCAAAATTTCTTATTTCCCAAAAGAAAAATCTTTCTGTGAGAATTCTGTAACGATCTGCGACCATGTCGCTACGATTCTGCCACAAGGGCCAAGAAGCTAATGTAAGAAGCTAAAAATGACCAAACAATTGTTCAGCAAAAAACATAATAATAATAGCTTAAATTTTAATAATTAACTTTAAATAGTACCAGAAAATTAATATTTTATTAAATAAACAATTTAAAAAAAAACTATTTTCCTATTATTAATTTTAGTTTTATACATAATTTTAAAATCTATATCTCATATTATTTAAAAGTCAGTGTGAATACTTAACTATTGTTATTTAACATGCAATTTGTAGAAAGTGCAGAAGGTTAGAATGCGATTTCTTAATTAAGTAGTATTCATAAAATTTAACTACAATACTTTAACATTTCTTTAAGCAATTAAAAAAAATGAGATTAGTATATTTACTTATACTTATTTTTGTAAATATTTAAGGACTACAGTAATTTTAATTTCATAAAAATTAATGTCATATTTCTTTCTAATTCTTGCTTTTCAGCTTTCAATGATAGACTAAATAGCTCAGAAATTAATTCTAGTATTATTTAAACTAGGCTGCAATTGCAAACTGTTTAAAAAATTATTTTAATATTTGATATCTTTAGTCGATAAAGAGATTTTTTTCATTTCTTCCACTTGGGTGGGAAGAAACCTATTTATTTTGGGGTGGTTGTTAACAATGTTAAAAAAAATTTGCAATCCCTGTTAAATCGTAATGTTAAAAAATTTAGTTATGAGTACAGCAGAACTTCTGAAAGGGGCCAAACCAGGTAGGAATAATCGAAATCTTCAGATTATAGAAGTTCATTGTATTACAATCTGCTAAACAGCTATTCCTCAAACCAGTAATTCAGCCTAGGAATATTAATTAGAAGTTTCTCTGATATTAAGTACATAGCCGCCAACATTGAAAGGAAAAAATCCAGTAGATATTTCAAAATAATATAATGTACTAAATATTTTACAAAAAGGGAATTTTAGAGATTTTTCTAGTTATCAAAATAGAAAAATTTCAATTATTTTCTAGTTATGATTGACATTAAACATACGTGAAATGTTATGCATTAACTTTACTCATAATTTCAAATATTAATAGACATTTAATTCATCAAAGATAGCTAAAAGATTTTTTTAAAATTAATTTAAAAAGAGAGTTCTGAATAAAAATAAACTGAACATTTTAGAACAAAAAAAGTTTTGAACTGATTTCCATAAATGAGGTTCACTTCATTATGTATTAATAATACTTAGTTAAATATTCAAGCTATAATCTGTACAAAAATTCCATATCAACAGGGATTTTTTTAGGGAAAGTATTTGAATAAAGAGAGAAACTTTTTTTCCTCATACTACAGTCTGTCTATTGAAAGAACTCCCCTCACCATTTGTCTGGAACAGTGGTGGTAACTATGGTTACGACATTCAACTATTTCAAGTAGGGGTGCTTGGTAAATATTTAAGACAGGTTTTGGCTCGAGTCAAAGAGAGAGAAGGAATCAGGGGAAAGAGAAACTCCCCTCTATGAAATGTGATGTTTCTTCTTTCCATGCCAACTATCTCAGACTTTGTGGCAAGGGGAGTTCTTTCTATAGACAATATATATATANATACTAAAAGGAATTCTGTTTGCTTACGCTTGTGCCTCTACCAAATATTACTATCTATTAGTATTATAAACAATTAGATCTCTTGGTGAACAGAAGGGATTTTTCGAAGTAATCATTTTTTAAAATAACATTTATATTCTTATCACATTATATTGTGCAAACAAATTTGATGAGTTCACAATCATAATTTAATATTTTCGCTAATAATAGCAGTACTGGAAAATAACTTTAAATTAGGGATACAAAAATGTTTAAAGGAAAATAATACCTTTATGACTTATGTTAATTTTATGCTGATGACAACCAAAACAATATTGAAATGAATGAGGAAAAACTGGATCCACTTAGCTTTAGATGGTAAGTTTAGTTGTAACATTTTTAGCAAGCAGCATTATTAAAAGTTATTACCTCTTCACACAAATTCGTTCTCAATTTTAATTGGCTGTTTTGTGCGTTACTAACCGCAATTGTTCTGTGATTGGCTATTTGTTATCATTTCACTCTCTTCTCATATTATATAGATATACAGTGATACCTCGAGATACGAGTTTAATTCGTTCCGTATCCTTGCTTGTATGTCAATTTGCTCGTATTTCAAAGCAACTTTCCCCTTTGAAATGCCATTAATCCATTCCAGCCCCAAAAATGCTACCCCCAAATGTTTTTGTTACGTGTTTTTGAATAAGAAAAATGTATTTATAAATGACAAATATCGTATAAAAACATAATAAAAGCGAATGTAAAGCAAGAAAAACTGGTTTTATAAAGTGTGCATACATATTTGTATTTTGGTCACTTAAATGCAACTTACACACAACTTAATTGCTACTGCATGCTTAATTTTAGCCACTGCTTTTCTCTTCACTGGTCTTCACTTTTTTAGCCGGATTAAAATAAAAACTGTCCAAGGAGGTTTGTTTCTTCCTCTTTTTCAGAATGCTGCAGGAATGAATTAGGCAAGTGTCATTAAATAGCTCTGATGCATTATCAGTTGCAACTTTTTCGGGGTGTTTCTTTTCCACGAACTGTTAAATTCTCTCCCACATTCCCAAGAACTCTTTTATCTTACTTTTAGAGATAATCTCCTACACCTCTGGCTCTTCCTCGAAACCAATTTCTTGCAGAACCCCGGAATGCTGCTGCGACTGTAACACTTGTAATTCCTCGGTCGTCAGTTCCTGAGAGTGCTCCTCGACAATCTCGTTCACGTCTCTCTCACCCATCACCAGGTCCATGGATCTTCCCAGAGACACAATCTCCTATTCCACTGGCACTTTGGGTTTGAATCCTTCAAAGCTACAGACAGGCCACAGCACAATTTTAGGCTACAGACTCACTCAGGCCACAGCTTCTTCCATGAAGAGGTCAAGGTCCTCGTTGTAACACTCAGCCAGGTCTGATCAATAATTCTGAAGCATATCACAATGTTAAAGTGGTCCTTCCATCCTACTCTCGAAGGATGAGGTTTGTGTTCTCTGTCACCTCAAAGCAGCGCCGGAACAGGTGCTTAGTGTACAGCTTTTTAAAATTAGAAATCACCTGCTGATCCATGGGCGGCAGGGTAGAAGTGGTGTTAGGTGGTAGATAGAGAACCTTTATAAATTTGAACTCTTCGAGGATGTCATGTTCGAGGTTCGGTGGGTGAGCATTATCGAGGATGAGAAGGGCTTGCATGGTCGCTCCTCGTATCTCAAAACAAAACTTCGCTCGCTCGACAGCTCTTATCTCAAATAACTCGTATGTTAGGGCACTCAGATCTCGAGGTATCACTGTATATATATATGTATAATTGCCAGATTTGTTAATTATATTAGTTACTGTTGTTGACAAAAGTATTTTTCCCTCCTAATAAAGTTGAGGATATTTGTTATGTATTTGTAAAGTTGAGGATGTTTATTATGCTTACCAGGTTTTTTTACCAATCATTAAAAGAATAAAAGATGAAATTAATGTTCATAAATGACTAAGAAAGCCATGTTTATTTTTCCTCCTTACCTCCGCTTGTCAAACCAGATAGCTTCATAGCCTTTAAGTTGAACAGCAGCCATCAATACATTGACATCGTAGTTGCCCAGGCCTAAAACACTTTTATGGGGATTTACTAGGTTATCTGGAGAAAGACTGAAACAAAAGTTAAAACATAAACTTAGTGTTCAGCCAACAAAAAAATAATTGATTTCAATAGAAAAATGCTGTACTACATAATTTAAATATCTTTTACTAAATATTTTTTCATTAACAGTAGGTTTTTCTCATAGTTAATTTTGTTCTATACTTTGATCTGTTACACACTTCACCCCTATGGCAGAATTTTTTCAGGCTTTCTGGGACAAACTTCCCGGGCACAAATATTTTGCTTTAAGATACTTTTAATTATAACAATTGCAAATTTAAAGTAACAGAAACATTGTTTTTACAGAAGAAAGTATACAATAAAAATGCATAAAAATTTTAAATTGTAAAAGTAATATTTTTTAAATTCTAATAATATAGGCAATATTCTCGTATTTTGGAGGCGGAAATATGCAATTTCGAATTGTGTAAATCATAATACAAGTTAAAATTCGTAAATAAATAAAACAATAATAAATATAAATTCAAACATAAATTAAAAATTGTAAAATCCATGCAGAACTCCCAAAATGAAGATCACGAATCACTTTGTATATTATTAATTTGAAATTCTAGCAGAAGCAAGTTTTTACAGATTTTTTTTTCAAATTTTAAATGAGAATAGAAAAATCATGATTATTTCTTTCCCCTCAGCAGAGATGTCAACTGCTCCGGACACGTCAAAATGATTAAAATAACGGTAAATAACTACAAGTAAATTTTTCAAATATTTGACTATTTTCGCTTGCTATTTAAAAGGTATAGCATGACATAAGTACTATAAAGTGGTGAATTATATAACCCTATGAATTATTTAGAAATAGTGGTGGATTAAAATCTACTAAGTTGAATTTATTAAACCAAGAATCACAAGCGATAAAATACCACTTTAAAATATATATTTGCTGTCCGGAGCAAGTTGGCATATCTGCCTCAGGTGCGCAAGAAATACATTTTTGGAAGGAAAAAAAAAAAACATTTTTCGAAAAATTATGCAAAATGGAAAACCAAAGTTTTTCCTTTCCCGAATGAAAAATCTTTCTGCAAAAACTCTGTAATATTCTGTGACAATGTCGCCGCAATTTTGCCACTGGCGCTTCACTTTTTCAAATGATAGCAAAACATGTTTATTTTATGACCATTGAATTCACGATTATTTAGAGTACAGCTGGGAAGACTTGTAAAAAAAGAAGTAAATAGGAAACAAGTGTTCACAACCATGGAAATACAGGGTGTCAAGAGGACTGACTGATTTCACAATTAAAAATCTTGGAGAAAAAGGATGATAGAAAAATGAAACAAACGGCATGACTACCATTAAAGCTGTAAAAATTTTATGCCGAAATTTTGGAATTTTGACACAAAAGTTGTCAAAAGATGGTCTTGTACCCTGTACAGGATTCTTGAAAGGAATACAAAGAAAAAAAGCCTGTAATCTAACCTGTGCTATTTCAATACTTTCTAATCCGAAATGACACTGGACTTGTATGTTTTAAACACTAGAATTGATTGTTCTAAAGGATTATCGGAGGTGGCGTATAAAATTTTATTTTATATTATATTTTATAAGCATTGTTTTAACAGCCGACCCAATTTTTTCGGTTTGAGACTACTAATGTTAAACTTCGTAACCCTGCAATCTTGAACCCAATCCAGAAGACAAGGAAACTCCTGGATCAAGTATTGGGAAAAATTTGCCTTTATGGAGGACTTTTCGATGAAACTAACCCGCATTTGCGTTAAATGGAGAGGAAAAGCACGAAAACCCCCCACTGTTAGCCTGACGGCATTAGGACTCAAACCTATGATCCATCTACCACAGAGGATATTTCCCTCCAGCACTGTGGTCAGTGCGGAATTAGAATTGACCAGCCATTGCTTGGATTCGAACCTTTGGTCACCTCATTGGAAGACAAAACAACAGCTGTGGTGGCTCAGGGGATTACAACAACACTCTATCCCCATGAGCCACCACCCTCTAGGTTTGGAATAACATCGACTAATACCACGAGATGAAGGCAGAGCCATGTGCCAACTCCTGGTGAACGAACTATACCTATAATTTCATAGCAACTGTAGCTGTGCTCCAGCTCAGTGCAGGGATATAATTAAGATTTTTCTTTTTTTCAGGAGTGAAAATACTCAGCGACTTTTTTTGATGAAGAGAGAGATAAAAAGAGTAAAAACAATTGCATTATAGAGTACAAAAACCAATTTGATAAAAAAAAGGAAAATATTTATGCTCATTTTATTACAATTTTTAACTCCTTTCTTTTGAATATTCATTGATTTTACAGTATCATCAAATTTGAAATCACTAAGATTTCCATTTTTTTTCTTATAATTAAGGCTCTGATTTTATATTATTAATCTTGTTTTTAGTTAATCTACTTGTTTTATAAGTTATCCTGTTTTGGAATAAAAAATCTATTTTCTGTATGGGGTGTGATATAAGAGATCCAAGCAGTCTGTTTGGTGAGCAAGGAGAAAAAAAACTTAATTTCAAGGATGCAGTGCGCAGTTTTTGATAAATTTTATCGAAAATATAAAATCTGCCTGATTTTAGCATTCTGGGTGTCTTAAGTTAAAACAAATACAGTAGACTACTTGCAGAGTTTTAGACTGGAGACTTTTTTATAATACCAAAAAAGAATTTTTTGTTTTGTTTAACCGCAATCGCCAGTTGTTTGTTTACTTTTGAAAATCATGGCAGATATTACAGTATGGCATAGTTTAGAGAGTCTACTGTAATAATGAATGTTTTATATTAGAAAATACATAAATTTCAGCATATAAAATTTTTTTTCAATTCGAAGTGCATACTGGGAAAAAGATAGAGTGTAGAAATTATTATGAATTATTAAATTACAAAATACATAAATTTCATTATATATACACATTATTTTCAATTTAAGTACGTGCTGGGAAAAAGAGTGTTGCAATTACTATTACTGTGTAGCAATTAATATAAATTATGAAAAATGAATGGTTTATATTTCAAAATACAGAAATTTCATGATTATATATACATATATTTTTAAATTTAAAGTACACACTGAGAAAAAGAGAGTGTGTAACAATTATTATGATTTTTAATAATTTTAATGCAATAAAACAATTTTACTAAAGAAAATGATAGTGCATATCAATAAATTTTTGCATAAAAAGCTTAATCACATCTTGAAAAAAAAAACATTACAAATTTTAAAATTAAATAACATTCTAAAAGAATTTAAAAATGGTTTCTGAAACTAACCGCTTAGGTGAAGAATATTTTGGAACATGTTGTTTCAGAAATGTAATTTTCAGGATATAAGTCCTGTAAACATTCATTTCAACAGTGAATGGAAAGAAAATACCTGTGGCAAATATTATCCAATGTTTGCTTGTTAAAAGCTTCCTTGTCTTGAAAGAGATTATTTAGAGCATGTAAAGCACACATCTCTTTAACTTGTTTTTCATGATAGATATTTTTTTCTCCTTTGGCGCCATTGTGAAGTGTTTTGCGATCACGTCCGAACCAGCTCTCTACAAAGTTAAGGCAAGACTTGTGCATGGATAATATTATAAGCTACAAAAGAAAACAAAAATGCTTAGTGCAAAAAAATAATAAGGGGCTTAGATAAATAATTCCAAGAAATTTAAGTGGTAAGATATTGCCTGATTAAAAACTTCATTTGCTTCAAAAATATAGAAATAGGAAATAACAGCAGTAGACATGTCTTGAAAATGGGCATCTATTTTTGAGCGCTTCAAACATTTCCTATTTATATATATTTTTGAAGTGAATGACGATTTCAATTATTTAATAATAGGCTTAGATTAACATTTAGTTAAATTGTTTCATTTTTAAACTTTAATACATTCGTTCAACTTTTGATTTTTAAAAAAATTTTGGTTCATAGGTGTCAGGATCCTGATTCCTCTCCCACGCATTTGATTGACCCCTGACCTGAGGGTCAGAAGGAAAGGGACACGGGAAGTGTTGTCCCCCTACATTGGGGGTGGAGCGAAGGACTTTTTCTTGTAAAAAGGAGGATTTTTAGATCAGTATTAGTTTGAACGTAGAGGAGTTGAGTATTAGCTGGACTAGGAGAACGAAGGTATGAACTGGAAGGGAGCAGGAGAGTTCCGGACTTTAATGCCATGTAGATTATGTATATACTCATATTTTACTTTTTACTCATAATTAATCCAGAGATGACAAAATAAATGCTTATACCTGAAATAATCCTTTGTCATCCTTATTGAGGATTTCATTAACACGAACCAAAAGAGAAATGTCTCACAATAGGGCTCTTTGTGTTTATAGTTTAATACGGAATTGTAGATTAAAACATCAAGCCAAAAAAAACTCTATTATTTTTTGCCACATTTAATCATGCGTTATTGGTTCAAAAATCTTATTCACTTTTTTGTGAAATTTAAATGCAATAGGGTGGTTTAATTTTAAGTTAACACAATGTGGTTTTGATATCATTCTTGATTTTAGTTATCGCTTATACATAACAATTAACACAATGTGGTATTAATATCATTCTTGATTTTAGTTATCGCTTATACATAACAATTAACACAATGTTAAGTTAACACAATGTGGTAATGATATCATTCTTGATTTTAGTTATCGCTTATACATAACAATTAACACAATGTTAAGTTAACACAATGTGGTATTGATATCATTCTTGATTTTAGTTTTCGCTTATACATAACAATTCTCGAGACACATTTTATTTAGCAAATGTAACTGCTTCTAACCCTTAGCAAATGTGACTGCTTCTTCTTTCAATATATTTTTCAATTTTAATGCATAACTTTAAATTTTATGATATAAATGATCTCGTTTAAAATACAACTACTAAAGATCGGACAGGGAGATTTCCGTACCGTGATCTGTGGCAGAATAATCGCAGAGTCTTGGCAACTTTTGGGCAGTGTTCCACGAGAAACGAAAAAATAAAAATCACAGAAAGGGACCAACTTGAACACTACATATTTTTTAAAAACAAATTTGCAAGTTTAAAATCTATTTAGCACCTTGGCGATTGCTGTTGAAACAATGGTAAGGAAATGTCCCCCTTATGTAGGAACATGTTTTTTTTTTGTTACTTATTTCCAAGTTGACGAGTAAAAAGGGGGAAACAAGGAGAGAAGTGTAAATTTCTTCCCAAAGAAGTCCCAAGCAGCTTAAATTAAACAGCTGAAGTGTCATGTTGGTGGCATTTTGAACAAAGAGGGTAGGATATTATACCATGAGAAAAAGTAAGACATTTTAGATATACACTATAAAGGCATGAAAGGAAAGAATTGGTTTTTCTGTCGTATGGAAGAATCAACGGCTGTCCCGCTTATTAGCCCGATACCAATCATGAGTGGGAGGCACCAGCCAAATCCTCCTATTTAAGTTTTTCATCTGAGAAAAAAGTTCTAGGTAGGTAAGTTCATCAGATGCAGAAATTAGCAGGCTGCAACCGTCCTTTGCTGGACAGTGTGCCTTCTCGACCAAAAAGATCCACTGGAAATGAATATCATGTTGAAGTGAGATGCACTTCGACTTGTGAAGGATATATATACTTGTCATATCACCAATATAGATCCAATAGTTAAGATGTTCCATTGAACTTCGGCTATCAGTCAGAATCCAGAGATTTCCATAATCATTTTCCCTCAAAATGACTTCAAGTCCCGCATCCACTGCTAGTAATTCATTTCTAAAAACGGAACAGAAGTCTGGGTTACGAGTTTAAATTAGTGCAGCACTTATTAATTATAAGCAAATATTTTCATATTTTCTATGCGCTTATCACCTCATTTTATATTATATGCTTGGACGACAGACCATTATAACGATAATTTAATTTAACGCTAAATTTCCAAAAAATGTAATGAGAAGGAATCTCTGCTTTCCGAGTTTTACAGAGCGCCCACTAATAGACTTAAATAAAAATATAAAAGTATGTACCAAAAATCACACAAAGAAAGTGAGAATATTTAATATAGTTGTTATTGTGAACGATCGAAATTGGTGGTTTTTGGCTTCCACCGATGAATATTAACAATCACAGTCTCTTTGGTATATGTTTAGAATACTAGGTTTATATACTAGGTATATATACTAGGTTTAGAACTATTGAAATCTCATATTAAATTCATACAAAGAAAAATAAATGGAAATAAAGTTTTAAATTTCAGAGAATATTTAAAAGAAAAGTGTATGGAGACCTAGCCATTTGATACAAATTGTCCTTTCCAGTTATCTTCAAAAATAGAAGATTTTTAATTATCAGAACCAATCTTTAAGAACTAGCATATTGCGAATTAGATAGTAGGGTTCAAATGCTGGAGAGATTTTTGTACCTTGATCTATGACAGAATAATCGCCAAGTCTTGGACATTTCCGTGCCGTGACCGGCGAGAAATTTAAAAAAAAAAAAAAACACCACACAAAGGGACAAACTCAAAAGATATAACTCGTAGCTACCTCCGGGCAATTAAAAAAACTTGCAAGTTTAAAATCTATTTGGCACTTTGGCAATTGTAGTTGGAGCGACAGATCAGGATATGGAAATATTCCCCAAATGTTTTGCTTTCAAGTTGAATTAAATAAAAATATTGGACATTAGTTATGATACTTTAGGTGCCCAAAAATTCTTTAAATCTTGTACCGATACGGAAATATACCCACAAAGTACATAGCCAACATTAGAAATCTCGATTTATATCAAAATTGAGAGTAATTCCATAAGAAGATATATATAAGGTAAATGATCAATTAGTAAAAACGCATATGGTAGAAAAAAATCTAGTTAATGAATGATAAAAGTAGTAAATAATGCTTAGATAAGCACAAGAAACCATCATTATTAAGTCTTAGTAAATAACATACATTTTGTTATATGTTTGAGTTATTATTTTTGAATAACTTATAGAAATATAACATGTGAAAAAAAGAATTTTTGGTAACTTTCTCGTTTATAAAATGAAACCTAAAAAGCTTTGAGGGGAGCAAATTTGGTTAATGAAAGAGAAGATCTTACGTTGTGACACACAGACGATACTATATTTGAACAGTAGTGTAATATGTTTCCCATAGATTGGATTGAATAATAAAAAAATATACAAGCCTAAACTGATATCACATGATTAATTAAATCTGATAATCTTATTTTACAAAAATGGAACATTAAATAAGCTTTTCAGATGTCTGAAACTTATCATTAGGTTTTTATATTTCCCTTTCCAAATGTCTCTCATGTCAACAAAAATAAATATTTCAAGATCTTCATTGATATTAGCTAGAGGAAAAGGAAGTTCCTTTTTTCTCCGATGGCAACATAAAAAAGGGTTACCCTCTTTTAAATTGCTGCTGCCACTTCTTTCACAATGTATATTCGCCTTAACTACTATACGAATAGTTAACTAATCTAATAAAATAAGTAATCACGTTTGATTTAATAAATTTCAATGTTAATTTTACTTATATCTTCTTAATTAATACCAAAAATTATTAATATTTTAGCATCCTTTAATGCTTAATGGAACATTCGAATACGCCATCTGGGGAGAAGACTGATTCCATGTCTCGACCCTCCCCTATTCCCTTTCCTTCTCTCCTCAGTTGCATAAGAATGTACTACGATATTTTCCCCTTTCTTAATACTTGTCAAAAACATTTTTTTAAATTTCCTCGAAGTTTTATTTTATAATTATGTTCAATGTAGTTTTCAGTTTTAGATAATTTTCTCATTTATAAATCAAGACAGAAACTAATATACTTCCTTCTCCTATGACTCTCCACACGCTAATGGTGAAAGCATGCGAAGTGTTGCCATAGGTAGAGAGTTCTTCTCTACACCATCTTAATCATTTATATTAAATTTTTGTATAAGCAAATTTATTAAGGGAAAAATATGAAAGAAGGAAATAAATAGTTAAATTTTGATAAATTACTAAAAAATTTCACGTGTTACAAATATTGCTATTGAAATTTACAATTACCATATAGAGCTTTACGTGTGAATAAATTTTTTACACAATGCCAATCAACTGTTTCACGTAAACACAGCTACCAAAAATAAAATACGTTACTTTTTGGACAATTTCACTCAAAATTTGAAGGGTCACAGATAACTGCACTATAGCTCTAAATTTAATTTTGGTCTAGAGTTGATTTGTAAAATGTAATTTTCGATCTCTAAAAGAGTTGCCTTTAATGCTTAGGGTAGAAGAGCATCACTGAGGAATTCATTGTATCCCTGGGTAAGATTATTTCTGATATATATTATTTAAAGATCTGAATTTACTTAGTTTCATAAACGCTTTTTGAAACGTTAGTAAAATAACTAAGAAATTGTACAGATTTGAAGCGAAAACAACAAGACACAATTAAGAACTTTTGCAATCAATGGTATCTGATTATGCATTTTAAGTATATATATATTTTTTAAATTGCCCAATGGGTTCTTGTTTTTGAATTTCAGTTTTGAAGTACTGAGCTACCGTTTTACGGCCGAAATGAAATGCTAAATAAACTAATTCTTCAATTTTTTTAAAATTGGGAATAGACCTGAAGTTTTTCTCTACTGATTATCATCTAAAATAATTATCATTACCCAGCCTTATTAGTTTTATTGTCGAATTATCATTAAAAAACTTATGAGATAATTCAGACACTAAAATATTCATCGGCTGGTCACAAGTTGCAGACAACACCGCTAATTTATAGTCTTTTGCTTCCAGTCTTTCTTTTCTCCCAAAATCATTAACAATAAAAAACAAAAACAAATAAATAAAAAAAAATTAAAAAAACTTGGGGAAATAGGAAAATTTGAAGAATTTTTGATTAATTAGTTACATTCATAACTATTGTATATAATCGAAAATTCTTCAAATTTTCCTATTTCCCCAAGTTTTCTCTCTTATTTCAAATTTTTCTTCCTTCTCTCATCTAGATTATTTCCAAAATAGACTTCTTTCCTTCTTGTTATTCAGGCAACTTGCTTATTTTTTTTTCGGTACTTACGCACTATCGCAATTATATTGACGACATAGCATAACGACCACCACAGGAAAAGAAAAAGCCATCGGAGCTATCTCGGCTAAATAATAATACAATTGTAAATAATGAAAAGTGAATGAAAATTTTTTTAAAACCAAAATAAACGAATTTCTAGTTCCGCCATGACGATTAAAAATTGCAACATTGCGTTTCCAAAAAACCTGCTCTCCAAAATAAAGCTTCATTGGGTGACAATTGTTACATTCCTGACTGATAGCTAAAATGTTGTACTTTTGTAGAAAGGCCACGGCATCTTTTTCATTATTCGGTAAATACCATACTCGCCTTCCTACATAGTTCGTCTATGTAAAGAACTCCCCAAGCCATTTGTCTGGAGTAGTGGTGGTGACTTCAGGGTTTAGTTCGAGTCGGTGAGAGAAAGGGAGTCAGGGGAGAACGAAGCTCCCCTCTTTGAAATGCACTATTTTTTTGTTTCCATAGCAGCAGACGGTCTTAGACATTGAGGCGTGGGGAGTACCTTCTACAGACAAACTATACTTGCACTTACCATCGCATAGAACGTTTATAACGACCACAAAAAGGCGGGGAAGTGTTTCGAAAGGAGAAGATTATGGTTGCTACTTTGGCACCTTTTGGGTTACCAGTTTATTGCGTTATCTCCAAAATTGGCAAGGTTAAGATAGTAAGTAAGTACCATTCCCCCCTACAGAAACCATTTTTCTGCAGACCAAATTTTTCGTAAACAACTGCTCTTTACCAGACACATCTCGCACTAAAAAATTCGGATAAAATAAAAAAGAAAACACTTTCTTTATCGGCACTTTATTGAAAAATGTTGCCATGCTTCTTGTTGAAGAATGTACTAGTCAAATGCATAGTAGTATGATTCATTAATTGTTACAGATATATCGGCTATTTACAAGGATTTAATCCTCATAAATTATTGCAGTTCGAGAAGACGTATGCTAGAATGACACACGATATCATGACTCAGCACTTAAATGGTAAGTACGCTCTCTCTGTACTACATGCACACAATGGCCAAAGAATTAGAAGCCTTATATAGAGATTTTATTGTACTTAGTTTTACACAAATAACAGAACGTATGGATAATGTTTTCCATATAAATGTAAACAACAACAATCTCGAGCTCATGACCTGCTCGACATCCGGTTAGAAAGCTTACAGCTGCTTATTACAGTTCATTCCACGAGGTGATAGTTACAAACAAATAATTTTGCAAAGATATTAAGTAATTCTAGGTGAGTTTGGTCCCGCAGTGGACTGATAGTCAAGCATCACTGGCTACGGTCAGTGTGCGGGTGGGTGACCACTTGGATCAGTAGGCGTAGGGACCGAGGGTGTGCGGTATTGGTCCTCGTTAAACTGTGCTACCGAAGCGTGCTCGACTTCGCGCGCAGGTCGTCGGGCTACCGAAGCGGGGGTGCCATCCCCTCCGCAGAGGATCAAAATTGTGATGGCATGTCTTCGGATCATCCTCCGGGATGTTTCCCAGACCGTCGCCAATAGCCCATTGTGCAGCTCTAGTGCGACGTAAATTAACAACAACAACAATCTAGGTGAGTTTGAAATGAAAATTTATCCTAGTTTCTTATGTATGGTCTTTTCTACACTAGGGTGCACTGCAAGATTTTTACTGCCTATACTTCCGGGTTACTTTTTCCCGTGTATTTTGCTTTACCCTCGCGAAACACAGAGAGAACAAGGCAAGATGGGTTCATAACTTTGTGAGGTTCTGGCCAAATTTGGCACACCTTCTATCAGCGCAAAACTAAGCGTAGCGTGTTTCATACGCCCATATAATCCGTTTTCATATGTCCAGTGTTATCTTTCTCTACATCACTGCAAGTGGATTCTGGCATAAATTATGGGTTTTCTCCCAGGATTCTAACTACATATTCTCATCCTCTGCATTTCTTTGTTCATTTCGAAATCGGTTGGGAAGAACCTTGGCTGTAGATTTTTGTCAGCTGAGGCACAGTCGAGTCCTTTTTTGGGAGCACAATTTGTTGGAGAAGAAGCTGAGCTTGATTGATTGTGTTCGAACCACAATTACTTCTTCTAGATACTGACTGTGGGTTTTGTTGGATTGGTGAAATAAGTCAACTTAATCTGTAACTGTTAAGAAATACCGTTATTTTTCTTTGAAATAAAAATTGCATTATGAATAAATTATTGTAGTTCATTTACTTCGCACTGGAGCTGCACAATGGGGTATTGGATACGATTTGGGAAACACCCCTGAGGATGATCCGAAGACATGCCATCACAATTTTGATCCTCTGCAGAGGAGATGGCACCCCAGCTTCGGTAGCCCGACGACTTGCACGCGAATTTGAGCACTTTATGGTAGAACAGCTTAACGAGGATCGATACTGCCCTCCCTCGGTTCCTAACTGATCCAAGTGGTCACCCATCCGCATACTGACCGGAACCAGTGATGCTTGACTTCAGTGATCTGCTGAGAACCGTGTCTTAACGATTAGTCCACTGCCGGACTATGAATAAATGGATGGCTGATAGTGTAAAGATAAGTACAGATGGCCTTAGGAGTTAAAATTCGCCGCAAGATTTTTCTGGTTACAGATTCCGATTGATTTTTTTTCAACTAAGCTTGAAATAGAGCGCCAACCAATGTTATTATATTTGAAGTGTTTTCAATATAACGCGTTCTTTCAATTTAACTTTCAACGAAACAAACAAGAAACGAATTCGGAAGACTCCGCGAGCTCGCTATGATGCTACCCAAACAATAGCAAACGGTTCTATTTTACACAAATATACCCAAATAAAGGATTACACTCTAAACAAGGCAAACCTTACACTTTATTTATGTTTTGATATTAATTTTCTTACATTTGTTTTAGGCTCACGAGTTGTTAGAATTTATAAATTACTGAAGTCTTATGAATGTTAAAATTACGCGTAAATTAAATTCATATCACAATAATAAAACTCTCTAGAATAATAAGCTTGTCCCACATCTCCTCGTAAGCTTAATATAAGAAGAGGGATACACTGGAAGTTTTCTAAATTTATAAATCGTTAATTTTTTTTTAAATCGTTATTGTTTACATTCAGTCAATCATCCATAGGTCATTAATTTTGGATTCGCCTTAAAAATTATTAAAATTTTAAAGAAAAATGATTTCACGAAAACTTCGTATTGTTTTGTTTAATATAAAGTATAGACCGTTCAAAGCGATTCAATTACACTTCGTTGATTCGATTATACTCAAATTTTGAGTTAAAAAAAAGTAAGAAATAAAAAAGCAAACAGCGAAACTTTAAATTTAACTGTGAACGCTGTTTTATATTCTACAGTTCGATTTTTTTTTGTAAGAAAATTAGACATCTCGGCTACATAAAGAAAACATTTTAAGCTCTAACATTAATATAAAAGACTTTATCTATATTATATAAAACGCTAATACGTACGTATGTATCAATAAAACCGATGATATTTCTTTTCTCGCGCTGGCAACAGTTTTCATTTTTAATTGATTGGATTCGGCGCGCAAGAGCACGTAGTGAGCAACCAGATAACAATAACCAGAGTGAGCATTATCAGGTTGTTCAATTCAGATTCATGCACTAAAAACATGACAATATTTAATTTAAACTCAATTAGGAATTAATTAATTAATTGAAGTGAGAATGCTTTAAAAGGCCGCTGTTGAATTGATATTTTTCTACTGGGAGCTACCTAAACGTCTAAAAAACGTTTAAGTGTTTGTATTGAATGCATTGAATTTTTTTATATTTCGCGTTTATTTATGCATTGAATTTTCACGCTTTAAAATGCAGAATATTAGTGAAGCAATATTTGATAATTTATTTTGCTAATATGTTTCTTATTTAGCTAATGTTTTGATTTTTTCACCATGTACAATCTAAATAGCTAATATACTTTTTTAAAAGCCAATAAGAACATTGGTAGAATTCTTCTACATAAGTACAATACTATGTCTTTGATGATAAAATACTATGTCTTTGATGATAATATATTATGTCTTTGTGCTAGAACATTGTGTTCATTGGCGAGCGAGCGCAGCGAGCCATGGTTCACGGCGTGAACCACATAGGATTGCGTAGCAATTCTCGGGGGTTGGCGAGCGTTAGCGAGCAGGGGGCGGAGCCTCCTAGTATATATATAATTCGTTTTGTTGGAAATCCATACTATTGTGAAGATGAACGTGAACGTGGAACTACGACATCGTATATTCCGCGAAACGTTGTTATCATATTAAGCTCTAGTGTTAATACTGCGCAGTAGACATAAACTGGCTAAATCATCGCCAAATTTTGTAAAGTTAACTTTGACTTTAGAAGTGAACATGACTGCCAGAAATCAAAGGTCATTAATGATGAGTTAAAAATCTCCGTTGCTTCTGACCCATCTCAGCAGAAATATACAGCAACCAACTGGACAAAATGATACGGAAACTTAAAAAAATAAAATCGTCTAAATCTGCCAACAGATTGACGCCGATCTAATCGCACGACAACGAAGACCACAGACTCGAACAAATGACTGTGGCAAAACTACAGGAATTGGAACTTCATCATCCTACTTACTCACCAGACATAGGCTCCACTAACTATCTAAGTGCTAATAAGAAAACAAGTTCCAACAATGCTGCAAAACTGGCCTTCTAGGAATTTATTGACTCTCATCCACCAGTTTATTCAGAACAAATAGCAAAAGTGCATACAGGCGCCGATAATGCATAAAGTAATTCTCTGTTTTAGTAAGTTATCAAACATCTTGTCCTTTTTTCTACAAATTTTCTAATAGCTCAAGCTAAACACTAGCTGCCTGTACCGTAGAAATATAAGAGTACTTATGGTTGATAATGTATGACAGTCTGCTACAATATTAATATGATTTAAGTCAGATAATTATGTAACTACTAATTACATGAATTAATTTTTCAGATGATTCTTTATGTAGCAATTTTGAAAGACTGAGAGAAGAATATCCCAGATTAGATTCTTATACTAAATATACTCCCATAGATGACATTTTGGTAAACCTAATATTTATAGAATTTATAATAACTATTTCGGTGATTAAACACTATTAACATACAGTAGAAATTTCAGCTACTATTTTAACAATAGCATTTTTTAAAAAATATTTTTGAATAAATTCTCTAATATTCAAAATATAAAAAAAATATTCTAGATTTGTGTTGTAAATCTATATTACAAGTTAGTCAGACGGTAGTTGAAAAAATTGAGTAAATACAAAAAGTTAGATACATAAAATATCCAATTAAAAATAATTTTTTTTTCTTACAAATAAAAAATATAGGGAGTTAAAAAAAACATTGAGAAAACTTGTAGCAACCATGTAGCAACTATACCACTTGTAGCAACTATAACCATGCGGTACCGTATGGATTTGCGATGGTATCAACGCAAATCGAGCGCATCAAAAATTGATTTCTCAAATGCGCGATTCAAGTTTTGCGTGTCTGAATAATATAGGAATTTTAAAAACCATGAGAAAAAATAATATATATAACTGCAAAAGAAAAAAATAAATCGAAACACGGATTTACGATGGTATGGAGATCCTTGAAAAGCGATTACAAGCGATGCAAGATTCGAAATTTTCATGTCGTAATATCACATTAAAAATGAATTCAATCTAATTAACAGTCGAATAAAAAAAAAAAAGAAGAGAGCTAATATTTCCTTGATTAAATAACTCTTATGTTACAAATCGAATTTTGTAACAAAATTGCAACTCTCAAAATATAAGTTTAAAAAAAAAGAAGAGGAAATAAACACCTTTTTTCTTCTTCTAAAGAACGATCTTTTAAATTTTAGCCATTTCGGAATTATTTTTTAGATGAACAATTTTATACTTTTGCCTCAGTGGTTCTAGCCGAAGTTATGGAATTTGTTTTTTCTGTCTAGTGTTCTCGAAGTTTATCCTAAGTTGCGTTTTTCTCTCTAACAAATTTGCGTAAAAAAAAGTCTCAACACGATAAAAAAAATTATAATCAAAATTTGTTAAGATGTAATTTTTTTCCTCCATCCACTGAAAATTTGTTGTTGTTGCACAGCCAAGAACTCTTACCTTCAGTAAAAGGTTGTGTGAGCGTCCAAAGCATCGACAAGTGCCGGCATATGCTACCTTCACTAATCCCATGAACTATGGTCAATCCGTGTACGATATGAGTGACTTGGATCCAAGGAAAACATATATGCCAGGTAACTCTCATATTCATGCGTTAAGGGTTAAATGGACACACTGAGCCAAACACTATAATAATGGGAACTGGATCAAAATTAAACAGCACAAAGCGAGAGAAACATTTTTATTGGAGACCAGGCTGTATGTATATACACACACATATATATATATAAAACGTCGTTGCAGAGTGAAAGAATAAAAACAGGTCTTAGGAAGGGAAGGAGGGTACAAAATTTATTTATTATAATTATTAGACACTAAATTGTTGAAGTGTTTCTTTGTTATTTTTCTGCTCCTTTGTGATGCAGTGAGCTGTCAAATTTTCTGGATTGAATTCCTAATAAAGCCATATGAGACACACATAATTATTAGGCAGAGAACGTTTATCAAAGTGGACACTAAATCGTTGTGCTCCTCAATAAAAGCTAGGGAAAATGTTGCAGAGTAAATTCGTAAAATGTTTCATTTTAGGGAAATCTTAATTGTAATTGGTTTATCAAATAGGTCACACGATTCCCACAAAGAGCAAGGGGAAAATGTCTTACTTTTAATTAATGCATACTTGAACCAAAAATAGATTAAACGACAGGATGTGAATTTAAAACTGAGAGAAAGCGTTCCGTTTTGAATAATAAATTAAGAAAAGGAATAACATAAAAAGATTAATTGAAGCTTTTTATGTTATATATATATACAGTCAAACCCCGCTATAGTGAACCTTCAAGGGACCGAAATTTCGGTTCATTATAACCGGGAGTTCACTATATCCATTAAGCAGGCAATTTAACTAATAATTCCCAAATTCCTCCCTTTTATTACACATTATTCAAATAAATGACTGAAAAATATTACAAAGTAGCATAAAATGTGTTATTTTTTTATTACTCTTCGTCTTGCGTACAAAAAAAAATTAGTAATGTTTAGCTGATGAGCAATCGTCAACATCAGATATGGAAACACTTTCCGACTATCAGATAATATTTCCTGAATTTCCGTTATTCCGCTTTTTAAACCTCTCTAACCTGCCATTCGGGCACATGAACGTAGTCTCACAAATTCGCTTAGCAAATTCATCGACATTTTTCTAAATACTAGAAGATTGCGGCTTCTACGATTGCTGAACCACTTCAGTAATGCTTCTTCAACATCCTTTTGATCTCAACTTTTTTCTGCCATCTAAATTTTTTTTTATGAGCAGAAATTGTTAATTGCCTATTTTCCAAATGTTACAAACTGTAGATTTGGATAGTTTATATTCCCTGCATATATCAGCTTGATTACATCCATTTTCAATTTTTCTGATTATGCCCATTTTATCATCAATGGAGCATGTTTTACGTTTACTGCCCGCCATGGTTAAATTTGAGACACTTGTTTGCAGGCTTTTATTTTAACTGAACTGAGAGCAAAAAGGAGAACACAGATTAGTGTCCAACCCTTTGACCAATAATGAACAATTACTCATTCCCTCTGACAGAAAATGCATATTGATCCCACCGACACCTTACAGGTGCATCATCTGCCTTGGTTGGAAACATCTGCTTGGTTTGTTTAGGGATGGGAAAGTGAGATAAAAGAATCAAAGAAACAAAATGATTATCGCTACTTTCCCCTCCATAGATGGTTTAAAAATCGGTGTATGCATTTATTTTGAAGTAGAAATTTCAAAATTACAAAAAAAAAAAAATCAGTCGAAGACAGAAAAAATTCATTATATCCAACTTCCTCACTTTTTTGGCTCACTATAGCGGGGTTTGACTGTATATATATATATATATATACAGTCGAACCCCGCTATAGTGAACCGTCTGCGGACTCAGTAATGTGTCCACTATAACCGATGGTTCACTATATCCAAATTTTTTGAAGAATATTTTTTGCATAAGACAGTTGAATGATTGAAAATTGGCTTTGCAATTTTGCATAAGTTATTTAAAAAATTATTAACTAATTAACAGATAATAAAGCAAAAATTGATGGAAAAAGTAATTACGTCGCTAAATATTAGTTTTATTTTCACTTTTTATGAAAAAAATTTGTGATTTTTGATTGAACACAATTTGATTTTAAATTGAGTTCATCAATTTTCTTATCTACAATGTGCAAAGAATGCAAGATTTTTACATTTTGAACAAGATTTCGAACCATCTTAACAAAGCATCTCCTACGTTTTCTCTTTGAGCTCCACGCAGTTTTTTCGATGAAACCATGTTTTTGTCGTATGCCGCAAGAATTG